AGCACTTTATTCTATTCTGCTTCTTCCTCCTTCTTCTCTATTTAACCATCAGGTTTACTATCTTATTACATGGAATTTTATTTGCTGACCTGACGCTTGCTACAACAACACCCTCAAATAGACAAAATTCACATCAATATAGTCACAACACGCCAGCCACGACGTCAACGAACTTGGACGCAGCTATAGTTTCCTCGTCTTACCTTACCTCACTTCCCTCCATAGAAAAAGCTACCAACGAATGTGCTTGTCTCCTTCCTACTGGAGAATCCAAAGAGACGAAAGCCTCTTACATATTCCACATTGCACAGACGATCGGTTTGCCTTGCTATCCGGTCTACGCCACCCTCCTACCCAGTCGCTTTATGTGAGGCCTTTCTCCTCTCCAACCTCCCATAAAACCCGTCAAACCTATCAGCTTATCAAGTGCGAGTGCAAGTGCTTGACTGCAAGCAAAATGTCTCATCTGGCCTACCAACCCCACACATCCATTCGACGTAGCCCGTCCTCTTCCTCTAACATGCCACCTTTAGCAACACCTTCCACGGTACGTCAAACCGACATCATACTTCATTTCGTTTCATTTCATTCAGATTTCATATATTTCTGCTTATGCATTTCTAACCTTGACATTTTACACCTGTATATAGACAGACGATAGCACGCCCGATCTCTCCACCCTAGGCGACCACGTGGAGCAAACAACATTCGAACAAATTCTAGAAATGGATGATGACGATGCGAGTCGTGAATTCAGTAAAAGTATAGTGTATGGATTCTTCGATCAGGCTGAGACTACATTTCGAGAAATGGAGGACGCAATGTGAGTGTTCTGTGGCTACATGGCCATTTTCCATTGCCCCATTTTCCCGCCCCAAGCACCCATTTTACCTATGACGTCACCTCCAGTCACGCTCCCCTCCTCTTTTGAAATTTTCCCTTAGCACCACCACCACCACGACGAATGTAGCCCCCGCATCGCATTTCATGTACAAAATCCCTCACAAATATATATCCGCCATACAAAGTTATAAAGTTGCTAACCAAAATTAATATCTTTTGAAACCCCCATATATAGTACTGCGAAAGACATTAAAGAAGTCACTCAACTAGGTCACTTCCTCAAAGGCTCGTCGGCAACGCTAGGACTTACGAAGGTGAAAGAGGCGTGTGAGAAAATTCAACATATCGGCGCTGGCATAGACGATTCAGGAACTGTGGAGGAACCAGACCTGAATTCTTCGCTGACAAGTATTAAGAAGACGCTTGGTGATGTGAAACGTGATTATAATGATATAGTGACGAGGTTTAAAAAGTTTTATGGAGAGAAAGCTTGAGATATATAACAATAATGTTTGGGTTGGGTTGGGCTAGGTCATGTGGCTGAGGGGATTGAGATCGAGATCGAGATCTGGGGAATCTGGTATTGGCCTCTCCTATATTAGCTATTAAACGGTCTCGAGGCCAGTAGTTCTGAAGAAGTCTGGACGCGAGGAAGGGAGATATAGGCATGTTATGGACTAATGTCATGTTATGTGGTATGTTTTCTTTTCTAATTTTTCACTGTTTCTTTTGTTCCCTTTTTTCATTTTCTACTTAGCTTTTCGTCCTTTTATGGTTGCTGTCTGGCGCGATTTTCTTTTTTCCGAGATGTGGAATTCTTTTCCTTTGTTCTATTTCTCCTCTTTCTTATTTCGATATCATTGTTGTCACTCTTCAGTGCTCTTTCTATGTAACTGTCATTCTCCTATCTCCAGCTTTTCCGCTCTCTCTACCGTCGACTACTTCTCATCTTGGATATCATGTTATGTCATCTCCAATCATCCCCTTCCTTTTTTTTTTTTTTTTTTTTTTTCTTTTTCTCTGGGCTTCGTATTCCAACTCACTCCTCATTGAAACGATTCCTCCATCCTGAATTTCTTCTCTCGCCTTTGCTCTGCCGCAACATACTCACACCTGTTGCTCTATGTCTAGCCATTTACTCATCTATGTTCAATCTTCCTTCCCTTCCTCATCTACTCCCACGCTCAGGGGGGAAAAAAGAACGAGAGAATCAAGGGAAAACAAAGAGGAAATGACTGATTCCCTTTTATTTTAATTGATTAAACTTTTCCTTCCACGTCTTCCTTCCTTTCTGTCAGGAATGTCGCGTTTTCCTATCGCTGAGGCTCCGGTGACACCTTTTTTACCTCTCCGACTTTATCATATTTCCCTCCCTTATCTCAGATTGAGAAACGAGAAGAAGTTTAGGGTATTTAAATGACTCGTTCTCATTCATTTATTTTTCTTCTCCTTCTCTTTTTTGTTTTCTTTGTTTTTCTCTTTCTCTTCTTCCTCTTTATTCTGTTATCACTTCTTCTCATGTTCAATGCGTCAATTGTTGTTTTGATACTTGATATAAAAAGCGTGGCTGTTTCTTTCTTTCTTTCCGGTTTCTCCTTCTATGTGTACATGCAAGTGAACATATTAGCAAGCGAATGACAGCTTTTGCTTTTTTCTTGCTCTTTTGCTTTAAAAATGTGCCCAAGGAGAAAGGGATATTAAAACGGGAGCCGTTAAGAATGTACTAGGCGCAAGCTAGTGAGATTGCAGGTTGCCCCTTTTTAGAGCCAGAGACTGGGGCTTGAGATGAGGATGGCATTAAGTCCAGTTGGACTCAACTGATTAAAATGAACATGAATACATATGAATTTAAAAATTATTTCCTTAACCAACCCGCTGGGCTATTATTATATAGAGGGACGCCGTGCAAGTGTAATTGATAGTTGAATATCGACTCTGTTATCCATACATCCACGTGATTAACCCCAGTCTACGCTAGCTAGATGCGGCCTAGCCCCTATTTTCTCTGGTCTTACGTCCCTTTCTGCCCAAGGGAATCTGCCTGTCATTCAACCAAAGTTAACTTTTTCCTGTTTCCCTCCCCCTTCTCCAGTCTTGCTATTTCCTCATTCCTTGTCCCGGGTTTCAACTTCGCCTTAACGTCTCTCGCTAGGCGCGTCTTAATAAACAAACGTATACATATACATATACATATACATTTATATATAAATGTACGCAATATAACACTTTTTGTCTTTTACTTCCTTCAACCCCCGTTAGACTAAATCACCCCCTTTTTAGAGACACAAAACTAGTTCGCAAGAAGGAAACAACTGAACTTCTGGAGACGTATTGTTAATTTCCTATTGCCCCACACCCTTCCTCCCCCGCGCAAAAACGTCACAATGCGTCTCTCATCGACCATGCTCCTCCTTCCAGTTTTGGCTGCGGCGCAAGACCAGATCCCACTCGGGGAACGGTTACAGGGATGGCTCAGCAAAGTCAAATCTTTCATCCCATCCGCGACGCCCGTGCTATCCCCGACTGCCAAATCTACTGCTGTGACTGCGGACACAGCTGCGGGCTCAAAAGCGGGCCCCAAAATCGTCAACAAGGAGGTCGTCTCCATCAAATTGGCAAATTGGCAGTCGATACTTGCTCCTACCAGTGAAGGTTCGGCTGAACAGTGGTTGATTTACGTGACTGGTGCGAATAAAACGTGTTTTGGACGTTGTGCGAAGGCGAATAAGGCTTGGGAGGTATGTTTTGCTGTTGATATTTTTATTTATTTTTATTTATTTATTTATATTTGTTTATATTTTAAAAATACATCCCCGTTTAGTTTAGCTTTTTATTTTTGGCATGCCCCGCAGATCAAACCAGACTAACCACTTTAAAACCCAAAATAGGACTCTATCCCCCTTCTCTCCGCAGATGCATCTTCCCCTTCCCTCGCTAAGGTCAACTGTGAATCTGAAGGAATTCTCTGCTCCATCTGGTCTGCGTCTCCCCCAAGCATCTGGTATTGGCAGGTCCCTTCCCGCCAATTGGGACAGCCAAAGCCAGCGACACCAATCCACGTCGTTCGCCTAAACGCGACCACCGTTGATGCTGAGACCATCTACAAGATACACTCGGAGAAGACCTGGAAGAAGAACGGGCCTTATAACAGCATTTTCCACCCTGTCGATGGCACACTGGCGCAGTATGGTCTTAATGTGCCCCTTGGATATGTGCTGTTCGGGCTAGGTATGGTTCCTAGTTGGCTTCTGATGGTGGTTATTAGCTTTGCTAGCAGGACTTTGATGTAAGGACTTTCTTTTTTTTCTTTTCTCTCACACTTTCTCCTTTCTCCTTTCTTGTTTATTTTGTTGTTTTGATCCTGATTATATATATATTTCAACAGGGGCCGGAGAATGGGTCCGCCACGACCACAGGTTGCTCCCCCCGCAGGAGCTGCCCGGTAAGGTATAATAATGTGCGTAGGTTATTTTTGATGTGCTATTGGATAGTTATTTATCATCTTGAATTTAATTAACCGATGTTTCCGATTTTTCTTTGCATGGGATATCCGGGGAATATATCTGGTTGTATATAACACGTCGATTTTGCTGGCTTTCTCTTTTTATTCTCGTTTTTTGTGTAATGGGCATATCACGAATGATGCATATGTCATAAGATTATAAAAGAAACGGACAATCGATAGTTTTTTCATACTTCTCTTCATCCTTTACCCCAATCGTTTTCTTTTTTGGGGGTACTCTGATAGATGGCTTCGTGCGTCGGTTTCGGCGATACTTTGACACTCAGGGACGTTGGAAGAGCAGTTGTCCGAAAGGAACATGGTTTTTAATTTTTGTCTTGGCTAAAAAACGGTACAATGAAACCAAATCTACAAGACTAATACTAGTTACATCCTGCATCCTTTGTGGGTAACTATTAATCATTCGTCGTGGGATCATACATAACCCGCGTGTTAGTTCGCGCTGCCACAAAGAATAATAATTGCCTTTCGATATATAGAGCTTCTAACTTTTGTTTTCCTACCAACGTATTTACCAACCCAACCCTCACGACACCTCTAAACACCTCTGTAACCAAACAATAATAATATCAAATATATCTAACTCCCTACCTAACTACCTCCTTACTTATTTACCTAATATACAGCATATATTATGGCCTCACCTCCACTCATAACGGAGCGCACTCCACCCACCACCACCGCCCTCGTCATCGCAGCCGCTATACTTGCTGGCATCGCGGGCTTTTTCATCGGGCAGGGCGCATCGTTGGGAATTTTTGGGTCCAGTACGACAACATCGAAACGAAGGGGGAAGAGTGGTGGGGAGAGGAAGAGTTGGCCAAATAGCTACGACGTGAAAGTCCATTCTGAGTCGGAGAGTGTGGAGGACAGTGAGGATGAGGAAGCGGACGGAGGGGGAGGGGAGTTAGCTGTGTTCGAAGGGAATACGGATGAGGTTAAGCTTGTGCTTGTTGTTAGGACTGATTTGGGAATGGGGAAGGGTTTGTTCTTCCTTCTATTCTCTTGTTCCTTTCGTTCCCTTTTACTTCTGCCCCGGGGATGAATCCCTCCATATGTACATCCCCAATATCACCATATCCTACGATTCTACACAAAGATCCAACTAACCAAGAAATCAAAAAACCCTCCACCACAGGTAAAATCGCCGCACAATGCTCCCATGCCACCCTCGCCTGCTACAAATATTACTTCTCACGTGCACCGGACTCCCCCATCCTCAAGCGCTGGGAGCGGGGCGGACAGGCTAAAGTTGCGTTGCAGGTTAAGAGTGAGGAGGAGCTGTTGTTGCTACAGGCACAGGCTGTCAGTTTGGGTCTGTGTGCGCAGGTCATTCAGGATGCGGGTCGGACGCAGATTGCCAGTGGGAGTCGGACAGTGTTGGGTATTTTGGGGCCGAAGGGGGTGGTGGATGGGGTTACGGGGTCATTGAAATTGTTGTGATTTTGATATAGATGTTGTGCTTTTTTCATTGATTTTCAGGGATGGAGGTTTTTACGATATCCTTCGGGATTGTTTGATATTGTGGTATGCTATTGGACTTTGTACTGTACTATAGACATATATATTGCGCCCTGGAGAACCAGATAATAGAAAGATACCCGTCGGAATGAAAAGGGGATGCATGATTTCTCTCCCACAAAAGAGCTTCGTAAAATTCCTAACAGATAGCACTGTATCATAAATCATCCATCTTAATTCTCCCTTTTTCCCTCCCAAGTGCCAACACACTCACAGTACATAAATTGAATTGAATTGATGTTGGCAAGTCATGGTTTTTCCCTAACCTCATCAGCCGACGGCCATAATCGGTAAAGGGAGGTGGAATATGACGCCCACAACAGACACCCGGCCATCTCACCGAGCTCACCAACCCGCAAAGAAGAAGGGAGCTCAAGGTAGAATGTTAATCTATTATTAATGAAACTAAAAGAAAACCGGGCTGCTGAGATTCCCTCTGAGATCTGTCGACCGGAAATTGACACCATGAGAAGAGAAAAAGAAAAACTCCGTGATGGCTCCATGTATCGTCGAGATGTCCAGCAATGACAACCGAAACACAGCCAGAGTACGAATACTCTGGTGGATCAGGACTGCTGGACACAGATCTGGTTTTGTTGTGATGAGGAGAGAAAAGAAAAAAAAGAAAGAGAGAAATTGAACGTTGAATATCTTTTTATTTGTTATTAGTGGTTTGAATGAAGCGCTAGGCCTAATTGGGATCGGGTCGGATTTAAGTGAAATCCCGAGGCTTCTTATCATGAAGTTGACACTCCAGACGATCAATGCTTTTCTGCTCTGTGCCTCACTTTTAACAGTTCAACCTTTGTAATTTCCGTCTTCTAAACAGCCATGGCGGACGCTCTGTCAATCGAGCAGAATAATAAGATCCGAGTGGCACTTGGTCTGAAACCTCTTCCTGTCCCCGGCGCCATCTCCAACAATGTCAACGGCCCAGTCTTTAAACCGTCCAGAGACAGGGATGACTCAGCCGAAGAACCAGCAAGCACACTAGAATCGCGGCAGGCACAGGGGTATGACAACTGGAAGAAACTGCAGGATGAAGCAGCGGCGAAGAAGAAGCGCCAGGAGAAACTGGATGCTATCAAGCGGGCACGAGAAGCTGCTCAGAAACATGTGAAGCTTGAGGGTAAGGGGCTTGGTGAGGTTGATGAAGAGGAGGCTGCGCTAGATACGAAAACTTGGCTGATGCAGCAGAAGAAGAGACAGAAGAAGATTGAGAAGGAACGCGCGAAGAGGCTTGCGGAGGAACTGGCGGAGCGGGAGAGGATTGCGGAATATACTGCCAAGGACCTGACGGGTGTCCGCGTGGGCCATGAGCTGGGAGATTTTGAAGAGGGGAGTGAGCAGATTCTTACACTTAAGGATACGACGATCGATGAGAATGAGGAAGAAGGGGATGAGTTGGAGAATGCTGAGTTACGAGAACAGGAACGGCTCCAGGAAAAGCTGACTTTGAAGAAGAAAAAGCCAGCTTATGATCCTAATGATTTTGATGGGCTCGGTTCCGGTTCTATTTTGGCACAATATGATGAGGAGATTGAGGGGAAAAAGCGGAAACGATTTACGCTGGATGCTAAAGACATTACCGCGGAAGAACGGGAGGCGAAACGACATGATGTGACGTCCAAGCTGAAGGTGCAAGCTGTGAGCCTCGACATCACACCTGAAACTACCGCTGCCCCATCTGACTACCAGGAAGCCACTGAGATTAAAATCAAGAAGCCAAAGAAGAAGACGAAATCTACGAGGCGGAAGGCGGTGGATGAAGATGATATCTTCCCCGCCATCGAAACTACAGATGCGGCTAATGGAGGAGATAATATGGAAGTGGATTCGGGAGCCGTCACTAACGGGCTTTCCACTTCAGCTCCGAACCGATCAGGTCGAGAGATATCTTTTGTCGATGATGAGGATTTACAAGCGTCACTGGCAGTTCAGAGACGAGCTGCGTTCAAAAAGAGGAATAAGGTCCGCCCAGAAGATATCGCGAGACAACTAAGAGAAGATTCAGAACAGGCGCAGAATGGAATGGATGTGGACAAGCCAGACGGGGAGGATGACGGTCCTGGTCTGGTTATAGATGAGACGTCTGAATTTGTCGCAAACCTACAGCGTCCAACGCTCCCAGATCGCCAACAGCGCTCTGTCTCACGTCCCAAGGAAGCATCGCCCGAAGAACAGGAAGCAAATGATGGCGATACAGATATGGAACGGTCGTATAATGAAGTTGAGGATGAGGAAGACCTCAAAAATCGCCTGAAGAGAAACGAGTCTACGCCCGCTGTCGAACTTACCGCTACTGGATTGGAGGAGGAATCGACGTTGGACAAGGGCCTGGGTTCTACACTTGCCATGCTCAAACAACGTGGACTAGTCGCAGAATCAAACGCAGGCGACCTGAATTCCCTGCTCCGCGAACGTCAACGATTCCTACAAGAGAAACTTCGCCGCGAAGCAGAGGCCGAAAGACGCGCACGCCTCCAACGAGAACGCGACCGTACATCTGGGAAACTGGACCGCATGTCCGCTCGGGACCGGGAAGAATATGCACGACAAGAGAACAAGCAGCGCGACCAGCAGGAATCGCGACAAATGGCAGAGATCTTCAACCGAGAGTACAAGCCGGATGTGCAGCTGAAGTATGTGGATGAGTTTGGGCGGCTGATGGATCAGAAGGAAGCATTTAAGCTCCTCTCCCACCAGTTCCATGGCAAGGGAAGCGGGAAGATGAAGACGGAGAAGCATCTAAAGAAAATCGAGGAGGAGAAGAAGCGCGAGGCAATGAGTACGTTGGATAGTAGTCAGCATACGGGGATGAATAATGCGATGGGGGCGACGGCGAGGAGGAATCGACAGGCTGGGGTTAGGCTTGGGTAAGGAATTAAGTTTGTTCTGTATTGTATCTTGGTATTGTTTTTCATTTTCTCTGTGGTATTGATCTTCCACATCTGTTCCATGGTTTCTACAGGTGGAGACGGATGCATATTCAGCACAACCTTGGATGCAATTATGAAAATATAGTGTTTTTGACAGCTAAAAGTGGAGTCAGCATCATATTTTTGTGTCAACCGCTCCGGTTTCTACCGGTGAATATGAATCATGTCTCTTTCACATATGATTCGTCCTGTTTCTTCTCCTTTCGTTGTAGAGATGCAGATAGACTCTTCACCCACACAGAAATTGCATTCTGTCTCCCTGCTTCGATCAGATTCTCCTTACCTACGATCACATGGATACGAGGACCATGAAGGTATTGCCGGATTTAGACCGTTGACAAAACCATATCGCATAGATTTCACCCAGACTTAACTTTTATGTTATCTTATTTTTAAAATATGTTAGTAGTTATCGAGGAAGTTGTACAAAGTAGTATTTTATTGTAGATTCGCTGTTGCATTCAACACCCACCCTTCTTTTAGGTCCATGGATGGTTTCGTCACAGATTTCCTTTTTCTCTGGAGCTCTACCTGTTGAGCAGCGCAAACACAAACTGAAACAAGAGGAAGACAATGGGGCTTTGTTGGCATCGATTCGAGACGAGTAGTCGAAGGTTGCCTAGGGGAAGCTCACCTCCGAGACTTAAAACTGCCAAGGTAGTAACAGCTAGTTAACTATATTGACAGGATGCATGGATATTTCGAAGAATTGGTCTCAAAGTCAGCTAGCTACCTGAACTTCCTTGATCAGTCAAGCACCAGAATTTCACCGTTTCGCTGGCTATGAGTGGCCCTTTTCTTTCCCCTTCTTTGTTTTTCGGTTTTTCTTAACGAATTGGCTAAACTGGAGGGAACTTTCGGTGAAGAGCAAAATGACGAGTATAAACAGAATTTTCTCTGTTGGTAGTTATTGCCCAAGCAATTAAATCATGATACCCGCCCATTTAAAACTACATGCACTAGTCGTGTCTCAACACATCTCACATCTCTATATATGCTCTTGACGGTAGTGATTTTTATCATATTTCTCAGACCCGATCCTAACCCTAACCTACACTTAATATCTCGTGTTGAGGGCGGTGAGGCTGAATAGACTTGGAGTATCAGCGTGTAATTACGTGCAAAGTTATGTACGGAGTATTACTCCGCAGACTGTTAGGTTTTAGATGGGGTGACCCGGTTGACAATGGTTTTTGGAAGGTCAAAAGGCCCAACTTTAACCCAAAACCATGTTCAACCTGTAATATTACCGTATTCCTGATTTAAGGTTCTCTCACTGACATTTTTTTTTTTTGACACACATCAACCAAACAATTCAAAAGTCTCCCCAACAGCCATTTTGAATATTCTTCTCGCTCATTAGCTTGACAGTCCTTAATTATTGGTTAAACTAACTTATAACTCGGCTTTCTGAGTTTTGTAATTTATATTTTACTTTTTCATTCCTCTCCTCACGTAACAGTCATGTTGTCAATTTTGAGAGTCGCCAGCCGACGAGCTGCGACTCGAGATGCCACTATGCGCATGTTCATTGCTGGTGCTCGTCCGGCTTCTACCTGGGCCAATGTAACCCAGGGTCCGCCGGTATGATCTCCCGGTTGACATGGAAAACTGTTGGAGCTTCAATTGCTGACTGCGCTGTCGTTGTCCAGGATGCGATTCTCGGCATCACAGAGGCATTCAAGGCCGACTCATTCAAGGACAAAATCAACCTGGGTGTTGGAGCTTACCGTATGTACATGGACGGACATATCTGTCCTATTATATATATATATATTCGTATATCCTACTAGCCATTTGCTGACAACGACCTCTCCTTTTGCTGCAACAAAGGCGACGACCAAGGAAAACCATACGTCCTCCCCTCCGTCCGCGCTGCAGAGGAGAAAGTGATCAAATCCAACCTTGACAAGGAATACGCCGGCATCACCGGTGTGCCAGCCTTCACCAAGGCCGCCGCGGAGCTTGCCTTTGGCTCCTCCAGCCCCGCTATCAAAGAAGACCGCATTGCCATCACCCAGACCATCTCCGGCACAGGGGCCCTGCGGATAGCAGCCGCCTTCCTGGAGCGCTTCTACCCACACGGCAAGAAGATCTACATCCCAACCCCAAGCTGGGCCAACCACGCCGCTGTCTTCAAGGATGCGGGCCTCCAGGTGGAGAAATACCGCTACTACAACAAGGACACCATCGGCCTGGACTTCGAGGGCCTGATTGCCGATATCAAGGTCGCTCCAGACCAGAGTATCATCCTCCTCCATGCCTGCGCGCATAACCCGACCGGCATTGACCCGACAGAGGCGCAGTGGCGGCAGATCAGTGACGTGATGAAGTCCAAGGGACATTTTGCTTTCTTTGATATGGCGTACCAGGGCTTTGCGAGTGGGGATACCGATCGCGATGCGTTTGCCCTCCGGCATTTCTTGAAGGAGGGGAATGGGATCGTGCTGTCGCAGAGCTTTGCAAAGAATATGGTAAGCCATAGATGCAGGAGATATATAGAAACCCCCACCCAGCCCCACCCGGACCAGCGGAATGGGATGATGGTGGAAACATCTCTAGTTTTAATGTAATTTACCTGCCATGCTTATTGTATCTGATACAGGGCCTGTACGGTGAACGTGTCGGTGCCTTCTCCGTCGTCTGCGAGTCAGCCGAGGAGAAGAAGCGGGTCGATTCGCAGATCAAGATCCTCGTGCGACCCCTTTATTCCAACCCACCCGTCCACGGCGTCCGCATCGCCTCGACGATCCTCAATGATCCCGCTCTCAACAAGCAGTGGCTCTGCGAGGTTAAGGGCATGGCTGATCGGATTATCAAGATGCGTGCGCTACTCAAGGAGAATCTGGAGGCGTTGGGGAGTAAACATGATTGGAGTCATATCACTAGCCAGGTGTGTTTTGATTTTGATTATCCTTTCCCGGGGTGGATGGGGAAGTGGGGGGCCTTTTGACAATCCTGTAGTCATGGAACTGGTAACGGCTAACTGTGTGGGATGGATTAGATTGGCATGTTTGCATATACTGGCTTGAAGCCCGAGCAGATGGAGAAGCTTGCTAAGGAGGTAAGTAATCGCACTTCTTTCCTTTTTATTTGGGTAAACACCATCAGATCACGATTTTTCCTAACTGACGTCTCTTCACAGCACTCCGTCTATGCCACCAAGGACGGCCGTATCTCCGTTGCCGGCATCACCACGGGCAACGTCAAGAGGCTAGCCGAATCCATCTACAAAGTTACCGGATAGAGAACCTAAACGAAAAGAGGGGATCAAAAGAAATGATAAAATCGTGCATAGTTCAAAGATACTATTAGAATTTAGATTGGTCGTGGTTTTGATATAGCCATCTCTCTCTCTCTTTTGCGGTTCTTTTCTTCTTCGGTGGGTTTTGCATGATTGACCTTTTTGATGTTGGTCGTTCTATTTCGCTTGGACCTTCCAGGCACTTCTCGGCTCTTTCGCATACTTCTTTTTTCTTCAAATTTTGTCTCGTCTTTTTCTCTTTTGCTTTTGCTCTTCTTGACTGCCACTAGCCTGCGAAATGGTGAACTGTAGTTGTACTTTGCGGGATTTCTTATTTGCTGTCATTTGTTGTATTGTCTGCATTTCAATACTTGGTGCTTCAGTTAGATATATCTCTTCTTTCTGTCTCTGTACTCTGTATCCTCTGCTAGATTCTCTCTATATATCTTCCACATAAGAGACACGGCCATGTATCAATTCCTTTGGATTATATTGCCCGATTAAGTTAAAGATTTTTTTCTTTTCCCAACCCCTGATTCCCCAGACAATAGGGAGCTAGATGGAGTTTACAAAACAACTTATGGATCAGCATGCGAATACGAACATGTCAATCAAACTATGCCGGTCTGTATGCAGATCCTTGGGAAAAGCAGGCTTTCCGCAAACCACACCAAGATATTCATGTCCTGTAAAATAAGGATATTCTCTGCATGTTCTCTATATAGCCAACAGTCGAAAGTACTGCCATCCCCATATGTAGTACTCCCGCCGAGAAGGTGTTTAACAGTACAGAACAATACAGTACAATACAGTAACAGTACACGCCACATGCAAAATTACCGCGAGTCAATCCGATACAGATTTACCGGTCTTATGATTGGCCGCTGCGGGTAAAAAACCGGCAGAACAGCGGAGGCGGCGTCGGCATCTCCGCAAAGCACGGGAAGGGCGATGGTGCAGTTACCGGTGGTATACCGGCTACTCCAGCCCATGTTGGCAGTCAAGAATAGTACCTGCTGAGTATACTTCTGCTTTGCGGCTTCGCATTTCCTTGTTCTCCGTCTTCCCAACCGCTTCCAAACCATCCTCCTCAACAACAACACCTCACTCTATACCATGTGCAGGCCCCTAGAGTCTGCTCTCATCTTTCCTTTTCCATCTCCCTCCCCTTCTCCATCATCCTGTCCTAGGATTCCCTTCCTATCTTTCCTTCCCGAGGTCCTCTGACCTCATTCCCAGCGCACCAAATGGCCCCCAACTCCGTGCTCCCCGTCGCCCTCCAGAACAAATTGAGGTCCGCCCGCAAATCCTCCTCAGGCATCGTCTCTTCATCAAGTTTTAACCTGTGCGGAACTCCCTCAATACATGATCGTGATCCAATCTCTAGCTAATCCATCTTGTACAACCCCGATCCCGCAGGGTTCGCAATGTCGTTTTCTTGGTTTTCCTCCTCCGCATTGTCCGAAAAACTTTCTACACCCTCCGCGGCCATGGTATTCTAGGCTCCGTCTTCAATGCCGGCGCCTACGTACGCCTGGTGCTCTATTCTTTATTCCTCCGCACCCCTGGTGTCCGCGGTAAGGTTGATAAACAAATCGCTGCCGCTATTTCTAAAATGGAAGCCAAGATCGCCCCCGAAACTCCGGGTATCCCCAAGAACACTAGCCTGCCGAAACTGGGTTGGAGCCATGACCGTATATGCGAAGAGTTGGATAAACTGGCTAGCATGGACCATACCGAATGGGAAGAAGGGAGAGTCAGTGGTGCTGTCTACCATGGCGGTGATGAACTGGTCAGTTTGCAGACTGCCGCTTTCGGCCAGTTTGCAGTTGCTAATCCTATTCACCCTGATGTGTTTCCCGGTGTAAGGAAAATGGAGGCGGAGATTGTGGCGATGGTGAGTTTGCGGGAAATTAAACCCCTCTCCCGCATTTCTCTGACCCTTTGGTTTGCTGGGGTTTCTGATACCCCGCGTGATTAGGTGCTTGCGCTTTTCAATGCTCCGGAATGTGGTGCTGGTGTAACTACCAGCGGTGGCACGGAGTCCATTCTCATGGCTTGTTTGTCTGCCAGACAGAAAGCATACGTTGAACGAAGAGTAACTGAGCCAGAAATGTAAGCCTTCCAATTTCATTTTCTCTAACGTGCTTAAATCCGGAGACTTATCGACTCCAGGATCATCCCTGACACCGCCCACGCCGCCTTCAACAAAGCCTGCCATTACTTCGGCATAAAACTTCACAGCGTCCACTGCCCTCCCCCAGACTACAAAGTTCACATCCCCTCCGTCCTCCGCCTCATCAACCCAAACACAATCTTGCTCGTTGGCTCCGCCCCAAACTTCCCCCACGGCATCGTAGACGACATCCCCGCCCTCTCCCGCCTGGCCCTCAATTCCAAAATCCCTCTCCACGTCGACTGCTGCCTAGGCTCCTTCGTCATTTCCTTCCTCAAACGCGCCGGCTACCCATCCCCCTACGAGGAAGAGGGTGGCTTCGACTTCCGCCAACCCGGCGTCACCAGTATCAGCGTCGACACGCACAAATACGGCTTTGCGCCCAAGGGTAACTCCGTCATCCTCTACCGCAACCGCAAGCTGCGCAGCTACCAATATTTCATACACCCCGACTGGTCTGGTGGCGTCTACGCATCCCCTTCCATCGCCGGGTCACGTCCCGGCGCACTCATTGCAGGCTGCTGGACAAGTCTCATGGCAATGGGCGAATCGGGATATGTCAACAGCTGCCCACCAGATCATCTCCGCCACGCGCACTTTCGAGCAAGCCATTCGCGAACACCCTGTGCTCTCCTCTTCGCTCAAAATCATCGGACAACCCTTAGTCAGCGTCGTAGCGTGGGAGTCAAAAACGCCCGATATAAACATCTATGATATTGCGGATGCGCTTGCGGATAAAGGGTGGCATTTGAATGCACTGCAGTCGCCACCGGGTATGCATGTGGCATTCACGGTGCCCACTGCTACGGCTGTGGAGAGGCTTGTGGCGGATCTTGTAGCTGTGGTTGAGCGGGAGAAAGAGAAGGTGGCGGAGCGGAAGAGGTTGGGGCAGAAGGTTGAAAATTACAGGGGGGATACGTCGGCGTTGTATGGGGTTGCGGGGAGTATTCCGGATAAGAGTATAGTTAATAGGTTTGCGGAAGGGTTTTTGGATACGTTGTATCTTGCTTGAGCTGGGAGAGAGTTGCTGTCTTTTTTTTCCTTCGTGTTAAAAACCAAAAAAAAAAAAAAAAAAAAAAAAAAAAAAAAAAAAAAGCATTTGAAAAAATGTCCAGGTGAGTTTGTTTCATGGTTAAAGAGCCGGATTTTGTTTTTACCTTATCCTCTTGTTTTCTTTTTTCTCTTTTTTTTTTATTTTCTCTTTTAATTTGTGAGATTTCCAGATGTACGTATAGGTTTTGTGGACGAGGGAATGCTTCTCATTTGAAAAAAGTTTAATTTAAGACAGGTGTCTATCAGATGTTTGATTTCTTATTTACATTCTGCATGTCTATTCGTTTTTCATCCATTTATTGATATATTTTCTATTGGAATATTAGATTTAGAGGGAACAGGGTCAGCTATGGAGTTCATGAAGTTTATGGAGTAGAGGAACGGGACGATGTCTGCAAGCAACATAACAATAATTTGAAAATGAACAGTTTTCTATCAACGCAAGTAAAAGATGTCTAGCTAGTATACAAGTATGTGCATCCAAGGGAGGAAATATGGCTATGCGGTTCGTGAAATAGTCAAATGAGATCCGGAGGAAGTAGATGAATTGGCAAAGGGTGATACGTGAGCCAGTTGGTGTGGGGAGTAGAGGGACGAGGAGAAACAGAAGGTTCGAGATGAGGTTAGGAGATAGGGGCCCTCACTGTCATATATCGGTCGTATCGAAGCGAAGAAATGGTATGGGGACGGATCACGCTTTGTTCTGTTGGTATGTCTGTGTAGATGTTTTCTGTCAATGCAGCCGATAGACATGGGGCTGCCAATCTACTTCTGCTGGCGGGAGATGAAGGAATCAAGAGGTGTTATGAGGGAGCCATGGAAATGACGTTTTCACTTTCCGTACGGTCCCCCAGGTCTCTATCTCCTATTCACAAACCATGCATCCCAAAATCATCACATCACTACCTAACCTCAGTAGTCTCAAAACACCCAATCTCTGTAGATGAAGGGAAAATAATAATCAATCTTCTCCTCACGCCTCCCTCTTCTCCCTAAACTCCTCCTCCGCCCTCTTCTCAACATAATACCCCGGGTCCGGCTTCCGCTCCAAATGCACCTCCAGCTTCGTCAATGGTTTCTCCACCTCCCGCACTGATACCAGTTCTTTCACCTTCATAATCTGGCCGGCCACATCGGGAGTGACGGGGTAAAAGACGGTTTGCATACGCTTTTTCAGTCCGAGAGCCATGAGGACGCCTGTTGTCCGGCGGGGCAGACCTATGGCGGAGCGGATGAGGGTTATTCGGAAGTATGTCATTGTGGAGATGTGTATATGGTACGGAGCATTCGCATGTAGATGCCCCAATGCGCGAGTATAGGAGGGTGATTGGTGTGTGTATGCTTGTTCTTTGTGTCACTCGGAATCAGTCGGCAGACAGTCGGCGTAGCAACGGCTGAGCGTTTTGGTTTCGCAGAGGTTTCAGGGGTGTTCGTTTGCTCGTTTGCTCGTTGCTCCCTTTTCTTTTTCTCCTCGTTCTAGAGTACTCCTATTCAGCAAAAAAAAAGAAAGAAAAAGAAAAAGAAAAAGAAAAACTGTCGCAGCACCACCAGATTTGTGCTCTGAAATGACGTTGGGATATCCGGGTGCTTGTCAAGGCTATCGTTGACACTTCGGTTGCTGGAAGACAGCTGTGACCTTCCGTTCCACGGGACTCTGTCCTTTTCTTTCTCCACGGTTTGGTTGGCCTCTAGATCTTTGTCCCACACTTGTGCAATTGCAAATCCAGATCTTCCGGTCATCCACTTCCGGTACTGACAAAATCCAACTCTAGAGGTATCCAGCGGGTTCCCAGCAACACCACGACTACAGCTGCGATGGTTCGAGCTAAATCAGTGCTAAATTGGCACTTTTGATGAAAGCACTTTCACGAGGACCCAAGCCGAATTGACCCGTCCCAGCTTGTCCTCCCGGATTGCGTCGTCAATGTTAGAAAGTATCGATATCGAAACGAGTCGAGTCGTTTTAACGCGAGTCGAAATAGTTCCCAACTGACACAAGAGAGGGCGGACAATCGATAATCCGAAACCAATGCCGACCCACCAAAATCTGCAGCCGAGTGTGGCTGGTGAAACTTCCCAACCCGGAAGGTTTTTCCGGGCCAGCATGCAGCCCAACGCCACACTGTCTGTGGCGCAGCGGGCGGCTGCCATCGAAGATCATATCAATCGCAACAAGAGCAAGGAGAACAAAACAACGGCAAAAGTAAAAGGTAAAGGAAAAGGGAGCGGGATCGGAAACGGGAATGGGAACGGGAATAGTGAAGAGCCGTGGGATGTACAGACTGGACACGGCCCAACTTCATTGCAGGAAGCCAATATCGGAGAGGGAGATTTATGGCCCAATGCCTCGCCAATTGATTCCGTACCCGAGCCGCAGTCCATGATCCCTGATAATATCTCTGTCCAATCTCACCTCCCTCTCGATAATGCTAATATTACCACCACCACCACCACCACCACCACCACCGCCGCCGCTACTACTACTGCACGCACCGCAACCTTAACCACATTGCAAACTCCGACTCCTAGTCCATACGCCTCTTTATCAAGGGCTACACTATCTCGACTTGCGTCTATTGCGACTGGGAAACTCCGGCCGAGCCCATCGTTCGAACCACCTCCTGGAAACGAGGTCGCAAATCTCAGCTTCGTGTCGTCCGTTCTTGCGCTTGCGAATGCCCCGTTTATTACAGATGCCAATCGCATAACCGATCGGAAGCCAGATCCTGAACTTGTCTCTGTGGAGACGCAGGAAACTTCCAGGAAAACCCCTTCCTGTCGTACATCGCCGATTCTTGCCGACACCAATATGCCACCCAAAAATTTGAAAACGATACCTGATGATGGCAGTTTGGATGGCGGGGTTGCTATGCCTAGGTTGGAAGACCTACTGCGTCAGCCAGAAGATTTAGATAAAATACCGGCATTGAAAGCTGAGTACTCTAGAAAAAAAGCGGCAGTGGACGCACAACTCCGCGAAGGATTAAGGGACCAGCTTGAAACAGTACAACGAAGCATAGGCCAGCTTACAGAGGGTCAACGGCATGTCTTGAAAGTGAGAGACGAACTACAGGGTATTGACAAATTGTGTGCCGAATCCCAAGGCACAGTTGGTGATTTCTCGCAGATAGATAAGCTGGCTAGGATTCAGCGGAATTTCGAAGCCACAATAATGATGAAAAAGGGCCTGGAGAGCTTCCATAACGAGCTCAATGAGGTTGAACGGTTATTACGAGAAGATGACCGGGATCTTGAAAATCAGCCAAATCTTCTCAGTGTTCATATGGCTATTAGCAAATTGAGAGATTTCCGGGACGAGGCTATGGATCAGATACGCAAAGCCCAGGATAGAAGCTCTGAAAATACATTGGTTGAGTGGTTTCAAGGCCTTGATTCTGTGATTGAGTGGTTCGATGATCATCTCGGAACAGCTATTATGAATCTTATCCCGCTTATACAGGCAGATAACCGCAGTATGGTAGTGCGCCTGGCTCTGGTTATTATGAACGAAGAGAAAAACGATGCTAAAGTTCGAGCTTTGCAGGAGGCCCAGAAGGACCATAAGGCTCTGGCCAGCCGGTTCAAGTCGCTAAACCTTGGCCCTAAGACCGTCAAAGGCTATAAAGAGAATTTTCTTAAGAGTATCGAGTTATATGCACAGACCCAGTTTGAGATATCCAAAGAGACATTTCTTGCTGACCCGGATAAGCTGGAAAAGTGCTTCAAGTGGTTTTTCAATGATTTATTTACCGTGAAACAAGGGATGCAATCTCTTATGCCAAAGAAGTGGAAGATATATAAGGTTTACACAAACATCTATCACCGAATGATGCATGACTGGTTTATCGAGTTTATCAATGACCCCGAACTCCCCACCGCAAATATGCTTGCCATCATACACTGGTCTGAAAAATATTACGAGAAAATGGCGAAACTCGGTTGGAAACAATCAGACCTTGTTCCCAACATACTCGATGACCGCGAGGGTGAGCTTGTCCGGGACTGGCGGAACCTCATTATCAAGACCCTGGACGAGTGGATGGAGCGAATGTGCACGGCCGACAAGAAAGCTTTACTCGACCGAGATAACGACGCTTTAGATACCAACCCGGATGGATACTTCCGCACAAAGACTCTGGGGGATATGTGGCGAATGATTCACGAGCAAACAGTAGCTGCAGGCTCGTCTGACCGAACAGATGTAACAGAAGGAGTCATAGATGCCATGTTCCGCGCTTTGAAAGCCCGACAAACCACTTGGCAAACTGTCCTCGATGAGGAATGCGCCAAGTACAAAAATCCCACAACAGATCAAACTGAAGGCATGCAACAATTGCAAGACTGGCTCATCGCCGTCGCGAACGACCAAATCGCCTGTATCGATGATAACGACGAAGCCTCGAGCCAGCTGGGTTACCTCACCCGCTTCAAACGCGACTTCGAGCCACTCGTCACACCAAAATACATGGCATCCCGCGCGACCATGGAACTCGACAATCTCCGCAACGGCTACGTCGACCTAAGCACGCACTGCATAAGTCTCTTCATCGAGCTGATCTTCACCGTTGACTTTCGCACCACACTTCCAGACTTCTTCACGCAAAAATGGTATGGCGAGTTCGCCATCAAACGCATGGTGTCTACCTTTGAAGACTACATGGCCGATTATAGCTCCGTGCTGCATCCTAGTCTCACAGATATACTCGTCGAGGAACTCTCGGACGAGCTGCTTGTCCGCTACCTATCCGCCATCCGTAACAAGGGTGCCAAGTTCCGCCGCCAAGATCCATTCACGGATAAGTTCAAAGATGACGTCTTGACCGTCTTTGGGTTTTTCCAGAAATTCCCGGATGCGTTTGCAAGTACCATCAAAGATCGGTGGCGATTGGTTGACTGGCTTGTTAGGTTGCTGGAGGCGGAGAAGGGTGCTGGTATCGTGGCGGTCTATGAGGCCTTTAAGACTGAGTATTGGGACCTGCAGTTGTCTTGGGTTGAGGCGGTGTTGAGGAGTCGAGATGATTTTGAGAGGTCGATGGTTAGTGCTGTTAAAGCAAAGGCTGCGGAGTTGTATGTGGAGCGCGGCGTGGAAACTGTTATGGGCAAAGTACGATAACTTTTGCAGAGTTAATATTGTGCTGCGACAAGGGTTTTGCTTCCCTCTTTTTTAATTTTGCAGCATGGGTGTCTGTTTGTGACCTGCCAAAATTTTTGGCACTTTCTGTTTGCCGTTTCCACGTTGGATATGTTCTTCTCTTGTCTTAGGTATATATACCAAACGGATCCGGACGGGCACTTGTTTCTCTAGGGGCGTTTTCGATACTTGTCTTTTTCCCATCATTTTAAAAACAATTGATTAAATCACATATTCTCTAATTAATATTCCGGGCATATCCTCCTCAAACTAACCCATCCCCGTGCGCCCATCACATACAGCCGGAAATACTCTGCTTGATCTATACACAAGTCTCCCGCTATCTTTCGTAGTCGACATGAAACAAAACATCCATGGAACTCTTAGCCTAGACCACACTAACACCCCCGTCATCAGATTCCCTACTATCCCTACTATCGCCATCTCCATCCTCATCCTCACTCCCATCTCTACCCCCATTGGTATCTCCTTCTCCCTCTCGCGATGCAAAATTCAAGCTTCTCTCCCCAACACAAATATATGCCGCTCCCAACACTGCCCCATCATTCGCCCTGTCTTCCGCCACCGGCTTCGCACCCAGTTCGCATATACAGACACGATCAATCAGGATATTTTTAGCCCAGACGAAAACCGGTTTCTCCCTACTTTTGGCCAGATTCGCTTTCTGTCTCCCTGGATCCTTACCCTCCTGTCCTGCTACGGACTTATCCCGACTCTGGGATAGTATGTGCATCTGGTCTCTTCCTTCTGGATCTGCATCTTCTGCAGCAGGTGCATAGTTGCCAAATTCCATTAGAAGATCCCGTGCATCAAACTTGAACATTTCCCTTCGTTTTCCCTCTCCCCGCTGGCTGTGGGGAACGTGGACTGTATTTACGACTGTGGCGTGGAGGAGAAAGGGACGGGGTCTCCTTTTCCTTTGGCTTGATGTTTGAGCAGCAACCTGTTTATCCTCATTTCTATCGTCGCCTTGCTTACCTTCGCCATCCGATTCACAAATGTCCTTGGTACCGGGGCTGCCAGCCTCATTTTTGGGGGGAGAGGCGCCACCCTTAATTATCTCCTGCTCCATAAACCCGGCATTGATGAATTTATTCCGCAAGCTGACGCAGAACGGGTATAAGCGTGCCGTACAATCTACGGGGTTTGCATAGAGGACGGTAGCCGCTCGTGCGTTGGGTAGTGCATGTAGGGAGGTTAAATTGATAATGAAAGGTTCCACAGGCGCATCAGCAGCAGCGCCCATTACAGTTTCTGCCTTTGCTCTCGTGCCCGCGGTCTTCGCCTGGCTCTTCGTTTGGCTCTCCACATCTCGTAACATCGCTTCAAGATCTAGGGATTTCAGGAATTGCAGCGCCTCTTCCAGGCGTTCCTTCGTTGACAGACTCATGACGCCAAGCGTCAGATGCAGAGTCCCCAGCGGCTTAAGAGCTGCATCTGGCACAAGGGGCCTGTCAGGGAGCCGTGCAGATACTGGAAGGGGCCGAAGCGGGATGGCATCTTTGAACTCCGCCAGGGAAGAGGCTAGTTGTGCAATAGAAGTCTGGTTCACCAGCGGCAGACTGAGGAAATGGGTTTTCCGGGTCCTACTACTGCTACTTTGGCTCTGGGGAGGTTGCCTGGCCCTGTGTTGGTAATTCGAACTTCTGCGGGGCATGCTTATGCTGCGCGAATGGAAGTTGGAGCAACGGTTTGCGAGAGAACGTCGTGTCGATTCCAGAAGCTACGGGAGAGACAAGATCTACCCATATATATATATATATATATATATATATATACAAGCATTCAACGCTCGTTTCCGCTCGCTTTTTGATGCTTGAAACATGCATGCACTGCTTGCTACTGGCGGGTCACTCAAGCCGTGTTGGGATCCACACCGTCAAACCACGCCGAAGCCGCACTCGCACTGGAGTCATCCCGATTCTGCTCCGCCTCCAGGCGTCGAGTATCACGTGTCTTTCAAACACGTGACAGATTGTTTATCCCTAAAAACAGGGCGTTTGTTCAGTATGAAGGGACAAAAGAACAAGACCGGGTAAACTGGGGGTGGTGGGATGGTTTATTCAGAATTGTAGAATTGAACTCGGGATAGCGGGGATCTGCTGGATAATTGACGGATATGAAAGTTACCCTCCCGCCCGTCTTTTGTACATCTAAAATAAATAAACTGGAGTTCTCCACTGTACATTCGTGCGCATGCTAAGTTAGGTACCGATCTCGGTACCCGGACATGATTCAGTGCATATTTGACGATATTTGCTTCGGCTGATCCTGACCCGTGATTCGTCCGTGGCCAACCAACCAAACCACCCAAACATCCCGTAAACAACGTTCAGTTCCCAATTCTAAAGACATTCCTTTCTCGCTGCTGGAATTGGACTAGAGTGCCCAGACAACCCGTATCCCTCTCTACATTCTGTTCCTATCCCCCCTCCTCCGCCTCCATCATGCTCTCCCGGACAAGCTCCCGAACTGCCTCTTCCCTTCTCCGCTCAACCAGCACCAGCTCTCCCGCCCATCTCCTCCCGGCCATCACAGCCACTACCACCACTGCTCTCCGCACACAATCGCCTTTCCTATCCCCAAGGAAACTACGGCGTGAGCCATCAGCCAAGATCTTCTACCACCTCCTCCATTTCACACCCGTTCTCTGCAAGGGGATCACACCCGGGTCCGCCGACCCTGCCCCGCCCAAGGTCGAATCGTCGAATCCAAATATCGCTGGCGGAGCAAATCACGTCATGCAGCCGTCGCCACTGACGGACGAACAGTACCGTGAATATTCAGAGAATTATTTCAACCTACTACTATCACAGATTGAACAATTACAGGAGAATGGCTCGGATGTCGAGGCAGAGTATAGCGTATGTCCTTGCTCTATTTAAACACACAGTTTCCCCTCCCCTGACTTAATAATTCCCTTTTGTACTCGCTGTTCTTTGGTAATTTTGTCCTATATCCCAATCAATCGTGCAATTGGCTTTACGCCGTCTCCTTCCTGCTACACCTCTACTTTCTTTACCCTTCCATCCTGTATTTTGCTGTTTTCCGTTTTCTACAATACTAATACCCCCATCTTTTTCCCCGTCTCTACAGGCTGGCGTCATCAACATCACCGTCCCCAACTCCGGCGTCTATGTGCTCAACAAACAGCCACCAAACAAGCAGATATGGCTCAGCTCACCTATATCGGGCCCCAAACGCTACGATTGGGTTGTGCAAGGTGACCATATGGATGAGAAGGAAGGCACACGCGAGTTCATCAAGGGCCAATGGATCTATCTGCGCGACGGCTCGAACTTGACCACCTTGCTCAATGAGGAGTTGGGACTGGGTATAAAGTACGATGTCTACGAAGAAACTGAGGTTTAGGAGGTGGATTGGTGATGTGCTAATCGGTGCTGTGCTGTATTATATTTATTCAACGCGAGAATCTAATTCCATAGCAATAACTTCATAGCATTTTTTCCCAAAAAGCTGTACAGTTATCGTGGTGATCTTACGCTTCCTACATCTGCTTCGTCTTACAGACTCTTCCACACTTGGCTTTAATTTTTCATCTAATATTGTGCCCTCACCCCTCCTTGGACATCCGAGACGGCGTCCATATCGCGACAAAAGTACCCGTAGATGTGTTTCAAGTGTTGCGACCTGAGGCCGTTATTCCGTACAGCGTTTAACGAGAACTGCTGACATACCACACTCAGCATGACATCTTCCGTCGGAAATAATCCTCGAGGAGCTGTGAAGTATCTGGCCATCACAGTGAAGGCCAAACCGGTCCAGAAATACTGTTGACGGCAGTCGAATATCTGTTTTCCTTCCATAATAGTCGGATAGCGCAGCAGAGGTACTGCACATTCCCGCAAATGCCATCCTACCTCATCCTCTATTCCTCCACCTTGTCTTATCTTTTATCATCCTGTTGTTCACCACATCGTCGGCACAACCGCCCGGGCAATGGCGTTTGTTCGATATTCCAATAGTAACGAATACTATTTTGTCTTGTAACTTTAATCTTCCATGATCCCCGCTACCACTTACGCCTTCGCAGTGATCGTAGCCGCCGCGACAGCACCAGAACCCGTACCGTCGTCGTCTTTTGGCAGATCATCCTGTTGCAGACATCACGCTTGTTAGCAACGAAGGGGCTCTTTCATCTCTTCCGCCATCCCCCCAATCAATATATACATATATATATATATTAAAACGGTCATCACTAACCAAATCAAAAATAACCCTAACCATCAAGCTGCAACTGGGACACACGGCAATCTCCTCCCCATCTCGCAGGTCTGCAATACCGATCTCGAACCGGTCGCCACAGGGACACGGGTAGTGGTAGATTTGGAGGGTTGGGTCGTAGGTCATGTCTTCGATCTCGATTTCATCGTAGATTGAGAGGGCTTCGGTGTCTGCCATGATTTTAGTATGCAGGAGAACGGCAATATATGGTACATAGGTTTGTGTGCACGGAGTTTGGTTGGGTTTGCGATATGCGATGTGATTTTTGGACTTTGAAGGTTGGGTTTGGCAGGAAACTTCGCCAAGAACAGCTAACTTTTCTGTCATCGAAGGCGGTGTAATATGCAGAGTTAAACAATTTTAACATTTCCCATCCATGGATGAAAATGTATATACAATGCAAAGAATAACTAGTAATAAGGGGTATATAGCTCATACTCCTCTCAAATGCATTGACAAATTAACAAAATATAGTGATCCAACGCTTCACCAAAATAAGGAAAAAAAGAAAGAAAGAGAAAATCCCAACCAACGCCGTTCCCAGTGCATTCAAAATTCAACACAATCCTTCTCAATATCAACCCCCCAATCTTCTAATCTCCATCCTCACACCATCAACCTCCTTAACCAAAGCTCCATACCTCCTTGCAATCTCCACCATAGCCCCTGGCTTTTCTAAACCACCGTCGCCATCTGTACCAGCACCCTCACCAGAATCGGCCCGCTCATAGGCCTCCAGCTTCAGCACAGCCTGCTTCCTCCTCTCCTCCAGTCCGTAAACGCGTGTCATCCAGATGATCGCGATAACGCGCCAATGCAGCCGTGGTTTCCGGCGTGTAGATCGCTGAAAGCATCTCATGTCTCATGATACTGTATGTTATCGTGTAGATGCTGCGATATTAGCCAAATATACTCATAAAACCAACAAGAAGAACACACCCAAAAAGTGTAGATAAATATAGATATATTCCAGATCTATATGTATCGGTATTTACGTATAGAGATGCAGGGATCAAAAAAAAAAAAAAAAAAAAAAAAACATGCCAAACCTTCCCCTCAATCCCCTGCAACACCACCGCCACATGCTCAGCCCTTGCCTTCCCACCCCGCGCCAACGCGCCATGTTTCGTCCGCTCAAGAATATGTATCATCCGCTCCATCACCTGGGCGTGCGCAGCCAGCACCGCCGCAGCCGTGACTGTCATTTTTGTCCGGGCTGTCGGGAGATCGTGCGATTGGATGGTGCGCAGGGTGCGGAGACGGTTGGATAGTTGAGATGGGAGGGAGATGTCTGCTGGCGAAGGTTTGAGGGAGAGTGGACGAAGGCGATTGTGCGGGCGTGGTTGGTTGGTTGGTTGGTGGGAGGGTTGTCTGTCACTGCTGTTGCTGTTGTGGTTGCCGGAGTTGGAGGTGGAGGTGGAGATTGTCCTTGCGAGGGATTTGAGGTGGGATAGGTCTGCGGAGAGAAGGGTGGAGATGGAGGGGATGAGGGAGGGGATGGCGGAGTGGAAGCGCTTCAGGTCGGGGGAGAAGAGAGAGTGGAGTTCATCGTTGTTGGTACTGTTTTTGAAGCTGGAGGTATGTTGGATGTAGAGCACGATGACGGAGACAAGGTTTCGGAGCTTTTGTTTTTCGAATGGTTGTCGATGAGGACCCGAGCTGTTAGCCGATGTGTCTATTCCATTCCAATGCCATTTGGAGGGGAGAGAGAGAGTGAGTGAGTGAGAGAGCGATTAACCCGCCCTCCTCACCAGCTTGCATCGTATCCATGGTTATACACACTAACAACTTACCTCATCATCCAAGCCCTCTTTCGACTCCTCCACAGCAACCCGCGCAACAACCCTCCGCAGAATTCTTGCCTTCACAGCTCTGATCAAATATTTCTTAAGATCCTGTTGCAACATGGCCAGATCAGTCACCAATTACCCCCCCCCACACACACACACACACACACCTCCCCCCTTCCATCCACCAATCCATCGCCATTAAGTATATATTAAGTACATGAATATACGCGTCGTAGATAAACTTACAGCCTGCACCGCTCTCCGCGACGGATCCGCCGCATGTGCTCGCGTGGAGCCATCGGGATTCAATATCGTTGTTGTTAGTTGTTGGTGTAGGGCTTTGAATTGGGGGTTATTGATTAAGATGGCAGGGTCGCAGGGGGAAATCATAGTCGGTTTGAAAAGGTTAGGGTGGATTGGGGGAGAAGGTGATGTTTTGTGTTTGGAAATTGGTTATTGTTGACTGTTGATTGTTGATTGAGAGTTTTTAACAGCGAGGAACAAAGCTTGTTGAGTGTAACGCAGGGGGCAATCCTTGATTGATAGTTGTCTGCAACTAATTACGTCACTGACAGTTCCATGGCGATATATACAGGACAGCACAACATCCTTTGAAAAAGAAACAAAACACAAAAGAGAACAACTTATTGCCTTCTCATTTTCATTTTCATTTTTTGGTCTTGTCAATTCTCATATTAGTAATATCATACAAGGTAGAAAAAATCCTTCCTCACCCAACCCCAACAAAGCAAAAAATCAAGAGCTAAAGCAACAGTGTCACAGGACAGAAGAAATGCAAAAACAAAAAGAACTAAGCGCCAGCATGCTTTTATCCTCGTAAAAAAGCTGCTGAACCAGTTGCAGCAGCAGAGACATCAAGCGCAAAATCAAAGCAAAGCGGCCATCCCTCGCCCGCACTGCTCGGTCAGTCAGAGGCTTTTTCAAGAAAAAGAAAAAACCACATGCTGCTGAAAATGTGATACAACAGCTTTAAAAAGACTAGAAACATCAAGTCACAATCTCACTTTCCTCGGCTAATTTAACTGGAATATCTGAATCTCTAGGAGGAAAAATGTTTGACAAGTAGTCGGGGATGGCTTGTTTGGTTGAAGCAGGAGTTGAATGAGTAAACAAACGTGGTGTTGTGGCGAAGGGAAAGTAAAACAGCAACTAAGTCTCTCCCTAGAATCTGCTAAGATAAAAGACGGGTTTCCTTCGAAACTTTCCGTTTTGTTCTTCTTTTCTTCTTTTTCTCCTCGCCCTTCCATACCACCATAACTGGGTGCTCGACTTGCTCAATACAGGTGAGATAGAGGGGACGGGGAAATAATAAAGTGAAGCTAACAACATTGATCATTTGTGAAAACAATGGGGTTTAAAAGTGGAAACGGAGAAGGGAAAACACCGCCTAAACAGGTGCCTTGAGATCGAAAACACGAATTTCAAGCTCATGATTAAAATGAAGTCTGGCTGTTGTCAAACAAATATGTACGTGAAGAAACTGAACTTGGCTGATGAAGGGGTGAAATGCATTGTTAGGCGATGGGGGGGGGGGGGGGGGAAGAGAGGCGGTGGTGTCGAGGATACATGGAAAGACAACACCGTAAGAGTGGATCGATTGATGGTGAGCGTACGAAGTTGCTAGGGGCATCCTATGGGTTTCTTTGGAAGGGATGAAAACAGGTAGTACATAGAGCGGGCAAGAGGAGCGAGAACGAAAAGGAGAGAATAATGAGAGAATCTACTCTTCTTCACTCTCCTCGGAGTCATCGTCGTCTTCACTGCTTTCAGCGGCTTCAACGGATTGAACTGTTTAAAACGTTAGAATAAACGTACACATACATCATGGAGATATGCCCGAAGATAACGGTGCCAGAGAGAAAATATTAAACATACTAGGCTCAGGCGAAAAATGCGATTTCCCTCCTCCCCCCTGGAAGCGAGAGATAGTCCCTTCGATGCTATTAATACGGGCCTCTTGCTCATACTTGCTCATGGGCTTATTTTTTTTGGGCTTTGATGGCGCCACGATGGGCGCGGGATCTGGTTCCGGTTCATCAATCTCCATAGCTGCAGGAGCATGTTTCTTGACGAATTTGAGCAAGACAAGGAGGACTTCATTGGGTAGTTCGTCAATGTCTAGTTCTATTTCGGCTTCTTTGGTATCCTGTTTTACGCTCAAATTGATTAGCTTATTTTTAGTGCGATAAATCTCACATTATGGAACTGTATAATGGATAAACACGTGACGTACCTTTAACCCTGGAACGTTTGACTGAATAATCTTAAGAGCCTCCGTCATTCTTTTCTCAGGCAAACTGCTGATGCCGTTAGAGATAATTTGCTTTTCGCGATATGTAACCCAGTGTTGCTTCTCGGATTTGCTTGACTTGGAACCGCTCTTCTTGTTATCTTTTCTCCCAGAAGCACCACCACCAGTCCCGCCGCCAGATCCTTTCTTGGCGGTATCCTTTTTGGTGGATTTTGATTTGCTTGATTTCTTTGTGCTACTTGGGGGGGTCTTCTTTTTCTTTTGAGTAATCGCCTCGACCTGTTTAGACATCTCCGCAATTTGTTTCTGGAGCTGGTTCAATTTCTCCTGATCATTGTCTTCCTCACTGTCCTCGCCTTCAGAATCACTGCCATTGTCCGACGTGCCAGGGCTTTGATGGCCGGAGGTAGGTTCGTGAGCTTCGATCCAACGACGTTTCTGGCTCCACTTGTTGTCAAACAATTCTTCCATGCTTTTTCCAGCGTTGAATGTCGGATCTCCAGGGATGTTGAACTTGTAGCAATTCTTAAATATTAGGCGGATATCAGCTTCCATCTCCTTTGCATTCTCATACTGACCAGTCCGTAGCTTAGTTTGTACTGTCTGCAAATCCATAGGTTTTTTAATTACACTATGGTAAGTTGGAATATTCAGCGCAACTGGGTCAACAGGGTGGTAGAATGGTGCAGCGATGAGATAATGTTTAGGTTTGTGAAGCTCGTCAAGCACTTCTTGGCAGAATTTCAACTCCCATTGGTATTTCTTCTTTTTCGGCTTCGCGCTATAGGGTAGCTCGCGATTCTTTGGAGGATGAATCGAGCGCTTAGGCCTCCCATCAGCTGTGCTGGAATCCCGACGGATGAGAGGCAGTCCTTCAGGACCAAGCGCAAACGTCGTCGTAGGAGATACAGCAGATGCAGGACGTGAATTATTGCCCGCAGAACCTCGGGACTCACGTCGGGCAGGCTGGGTTTTAGTAGGAGCAGTAACCGTCTTCTTGACCTTCTTTTCCGCAGGAGTCACTTCCACTTTATCTGCCTTGGGGAGCTTGGACAGATGGCGCTCAAAGTTCTGCTTGAGATTTCGGCCTTCCATGCTAACCACATGGTCGGCTCCATTGAACGTGACCGAGTTCTCAATCATCAAGTTGAAATCCGCAATAACTGCATCAACTGAAGCATATGATCCCTGCTTTAGCTTATCTTCCATGGTTCGCAAATCCATAGGATTCTTTATGATAAGGGGGTAGTTTGGAATATTCAGCTTAACAGCGTCTACCGGCTCTCGGAAAAATCTAGCGTCATGAAGACGTTTCAGGCCTTGAAGGCACCGAGTCAAAAATCTTGTCTGCAACTTTGTGACAGGGGCTGCCGGCTGAGAAGCCTCACTTGCGGGGACGGCAGTTTGAGTGGGAAGCTGAGGAACTTTAAATTCAGGCGCAGCAGGCGCAGAGTCATCTGTCTTGGCACGTTTTGAGGAGGGTTGCTCATCCACATCCTCTTCCCGTTCCCGTGAAACCTTTCTTGGTGGTGCAGGGGGGGCATCTACCATCTCTTGGTCCTCCTGTGGCTGTTCCTCGACCTGTGAAAGCTTCACAGTTTCAGATACAGGAGCAGGCTCAGCAAGCTCGGGTTTAGGTGCCGTTTCCTGTTCCAGGGTTGCCATAGCCGCAGGGGTGCTTCCCGGGGATAGTGGAGAAAGAGAAGGCATGTTCGTTGTGGTAGGAGCGGGCTGAGAAGGGATGATGTCAGGAACAGGGGTAATTGAAGACGGGAGGGAAGTTTCATTTTGAGGAGCCGGAGGTGATGGGATTTCCTCCTTTTGAGGCTCCGGCGGTGTGATAGTTTGTTCCTTTTGAATAACAGGTAATGACCGCTGATTTTCACTCGTAGAAGGTGGAAGTGGCTCATTTGCAGGAGCAGTTTCTGGCTTTTTCATTGTCGTGTCTACGGGAGAGTTTTCTGGAATTGGCTGGAAATTGAGGGGAGAAGGCGATAGCACGTTGGCAGGCTCCGAAGATGGTTTGGGAGCTTCACTCACGCCCTCATTCTCAGCAACAACAGGGAGTGTTTCTGTCAGTGGAACAAACGCCTCCTCCGGTTGGATAGATGGAAGACCCGCCACAGTTTGCAATACAGGTTCTGGCTCTAGTGCTGTGGATGTTGGGACTGCTGCCTCCGGTCCTGCTAAAGAAGCTGTTTCCTGTGTTGTTGGCGGGGAGTTTGGGGGATATCCTTCATTGGCTGAAGCATCCGCACCCTCAGCAGAACCATTCACGCCATTTGACAGGGGTTGATGGAGCCCATCACCCGTCACAGCGGGCGAAAGGGGCTGATTTTCATCCACAACAGCTTCATTTACCTGTGGCTCTGACATGGTTTCAGGAAGCTTCACCGTGACAGGTTTGGTTTCTAGAACCGCGGTGCCACTTTTGGTCGATGATGACGGCCGGTTAGTAACAATGATGTCTCTTTTGAACACGTCACTCACAGCGATACATGGGCTGCTTAGAGAGATGGATGGAGATTACTCACCCTAGCAAGTCCGCATGGAGAGTCACCTCCTCGACGGCGGGTGTTGGTTGAGGTTTGTTCTCCACAGCCGAAGAGTCTGGCGGAGGAGTTGCCATGGTCATCGGTGGCAATCACGTGAGAACTCGGGAGGTTGGGCAACAGCCACCAACACACGCCCTCACCCGCCGGGCGATCGATTAGGGAAAGAGCGTCGCGAAGCTAAACAGAGCAGGCCAGAGAGAGTAAAGCACGACTCGTTGAAGCTGCTAGCTAGAGCTGGGTAGGATCAAAATATACCCGATTCCGGGACTTTTGGGGGCTTGGATCGACCCTTTTTTCTTCTGACTAAGCCAGGTTGAGGAGACCTAGACTAGACGACTATATGGGGTGCTGTCAGAGCCATAACATAGGAATGTATGCAGGAGAACGAAAATATAATATCACAGGATATTGTAAAAGCATAGAGATGCTGCTTCCTTAAAGGAATCTTTGGATGCTCTGTTGGTTGTTGGTTGTTGGTTGTTGTATTAATTAAGGGGGATGTTGGGAAATACAGAACTTGCCAAAAGGGGAAAAAGCAAAAAGAGCAGGAAAAGAAAAAGAAAAAGGGGAGGAGTGGAGTGGAGGATGTGCTATTTATATTGCCAAGAAAGCTTGTGATCACGTGGGGGAATTAGTCATCACAGGACGGGTGGGAGGGAGGAACACAGATAGAGTGAAAGTGAAAGGGACGGAGATCCCCAGGCGGTGATTGGATAGGGGGACAGCTGCTGCGAGGACAAGTGCAAATGGGGGACAAAAGAACAACGCCGCGGGAGTAAGGTCAGTCTGGGAATCCCGCTGCTAACCAGAAAGGGACAAGTTCGAGGAGAGATGGAGTGGAAATATGGGTACAGGTGGCTTGGAAGTGACCTGGTATATGTGCCTAAGCTACCATACCTATCAGGTGACAGACAGATAGGAAGTTAGGGGCACTGTAAAAATTATTATGCCACAGTTTTTAATAAAAGACATGAGAAAATAATTCAAAGTGGGCAAGTAAACAAGATAATATGCATGCATAGAGCTGCTGACAAAGCAAGAACAAGAGAAGAACCTAACTAACTATTGGAAAATTCAAAAGGGGCAAAGCAACAATGAGTGCGTTCTGCAATAGAAGATGAGGAAAAAGGATACAGTCGGCGAGCAAAAAAGTGGCAATAAGTAAAGGGATAGAGAAGTAGGGATGGGGGTAATAATAATACGAACAGTCATACAACAGCTGGAGCTGACGGCAGTTGTGGTCGTGGGCGTATAATATGTAGGTGCGTGTATTTTAATTGTGAACGCTCCAGGGGGGGGGTGGGGGAAAGGTTGAGTGTGTGTGTAGTCGCGACCAGTCTGCTGGGGGCGCTACGGGGGGTGTGTGGGCGTGGGCGAATCGGGGAAAGCAAGGTGCGTGACCAGAAGAAACGAGACGCGGAGGCGAGAGGCAAGACAAGCGAAAAAAGAGAGACTGAGAAAATCGGAGGGGGGTGCTAGAATCCTTAAGTACGGGCAGTCCCTCTCTGCCCCTGCGTGTGCCAGGGAAACACGCCAGCCTGCTTGCCCAGCCTGCATCCGCTAGGCCTAGGATGACGCTTGCTAAAGGCGGCGATCCCTGTTCATGACATTCTGCGCGCGTTGATTGGCTACGACGCGTGATGAGGATCCCACGGCTAATTCGCTGATTGGTTTGTTTGGGTCGCTGGTTTTGGAGGTCGGGGGAACTGTGAGTTCTGTCCCCACCAAGGCCTCTTTTGCGTTTTTGTGTGGTATTTTGTGGTATGATACTGTACGGCTGGTACGGCTCAAAAATACCAAAATTACCACTTCGCCACAGCCACAAAGTGCATTTTCGAGTTTCCCTCAAAGGTACCTAGGTAACTTTCGCCCATAACTTTCTTTCTGTGTGGTGACGACAACTGTAGTTACCACAAACACAAAGTTTTGATTTCAGGCGCGCGTAACAGATTCCTTCTTCATTATACATAATTGTACATATCGCATATCGAATGAATACTATATTTGTGAGACAACGCGATATTCCACTCCTTCCCTTCACTTGTATGTAGGAGGCCTGGTTCACTTTTTATAAATCCCAGGTTATTAGGGCAGAGCGTGTCGCCAGACCTTGCATCTCCCGGCTTTATTAATTAGACAATACCTGCCCGGGCTTAACCCTGACACTTCTCCTTTCTGGGGTGGGAGTGTGGGAGTGTGGGAGTGCTGGGCACTGGACACGGGGCCACTGGGCACAACCAGCTAAAACCTTGGAATCGATTCCAGTACGAGGTAAATTGTGCCCGAAATCGGAAATACCGGTATGATACACGCGCATCAGGGTTCATGTGGGTCAGAAGCCAATCATGGTTGCCCTTTCCCATGCCACCCGGTCACCGGCGCCCACAGCTATTTGCTTAGATAATGAGGAGCAGGCTGGGCAGGCAGATGCCAAGATTCGCTCGGTTTAATTGAACTAACTTCTGGCGCTTGGAGAAGATGTTGATGCGGCGGAATGAGGGTTGCGCGGTTCTCCGCGAAAGCATGCCTGGCTCTTGAGAAAAGTTCCCTCGGGAGAGATTGCGATATATGGATGAATTTTGGGGTTTGAAGGAGTTAAGCTGGATGAGAATTTCAGTGTTGAGTATCAACTTCTTTGTACGTTGTACGGAGTTCTTGGTTGAGCCGAAAAATTATTCTGTCGCATCCACCAAACGCTCCTCTGAGTCTTGTTATGCCAACGGCTAATCAACCCTGTGCGTCTGTGTTTGTGTGATGACGTTTGTTTTGGCATACTCTTTGCCGCTCCCTTCTTCACTTTACTCCGTTCCCGTGGATGGATTAAACAGAACAGCGCATGGGATGGTAGAAGGTATTATGGTAATGTTGTGCCTGGATTCCTCCCCCAACACCCCCCTCTCTCTCTCTCCCCGGCAAAGTATGAGTGAGGGGACTCAATATGAGATGACATTGCATCACCAGATAGGGATGGCTTGATCGGGAATCCAATCACTCGTTTGATTTTGGCTAGTCTGAGTCTTGCGTGAAAAGATGAACGATTTGTTTCGCGCGCGAGCGGGAAGTACCACAATCTTCGAAGATGATTTTAGATCAAGAGTGATGCAGCTGGACCAGCTAGCGCTACGAGGGGAGTTCCAAGGGCAGTCAATTCTGCGTTCTCATTGGCTTCTTCAAGTAACCGTTGAAGAACTCGCTGACTCTCGCGTCGATATCTCTTCCTATTCTTATGGATTCAAAACATTTTCCCGTCCCCCAACCGGTCGATAACTACTGGTGCGGCTCCATTCCCTTCCTGTCGCAGCTGACATACCCCAGAGGATTCAGTTTATTCCACCAGCCGGGGTAGAAATTGTCGCGGGCGGAGCGGAAATGATATCTTTCAAGGCTACGGAAATTCGGAGAATTCCAGAAATCGGACGTCAAAAACACTGTATTGGGGAGGGGGAGCAGGGCTTCAATGGCAACTTTATCTTGTCGAAGATGCTCTGATATCATCGACGTTATTTGCTTAGTTCATTCCCATCCGATGACACATTGGCGCCTAGAGAACTCATCGTTCTCTCTCTCTCTCTCTCTCTCTCCCTCTCTTCCTACCCTTTCCTCTCTTTCCTCCAGGTTACTTTTCGGAAACCCGTGACAAAACATTGTTTCCCCCTAACAGGAGGGGTTGAAACAAACAAAAATGGAAGCGTATGGAGACAGCCATATTGGGCTTCATGAAGGCTATATACACATATTTTCCGTACTGATAATGAACCTAATTGCGCAGATTTTTTGCTGCAGATCAAGCTTCATGTCCTACAGATCGCCGGGTGTGGGTGCATTGGCAAGAGTCCTTTGTATGTATAGTACATACTTATCCTCACCCATCTACAAAGGAAGGTCCATTACAAAGATGCCCCGCTTCTCCTCTATTACGTTTGAAGTCAGCAAATACCCTCAACATATATCTACAACACTTGCTACTCGGCGATACACTATCATCACCCGGGGGCGGAGGCTGGGGGGTTTTCCTGCTGTCTTGACATCGGCATGCTGCTGTATGCGGATGTCATATATAAGTCTGTATGTCGATTTTTGGTCGTTCTCTAGGGCGGTTCTGCGGATGTATGTTTGCAGGTCAAACAAAGGTCGCATTCCCACAGAATCATTAGGCGCAAAGCTGCAGGTCAATCGATAAAACAGCGGTAACGGAGGAGTAGTAATGTGGCTCTGATCTTTTGTGTGCAGGGCGGAGCTTTTGTATTTCTTACAGAAATATTAGACGGGTCATTGTTTAAGGTTAATTACCTGTGGAACCTTCATGACTTGAATATGCATGCACATTTTCAGGTGGAAAGGATGTAAGGAGATGGTCTGCGTAAAATGCTTGTTTCGTTGGGTTGTTTTGTTTGACAGGAGCATATCCTCGGCGCAAACAAAAAGAGAATTAGGATACATTGGCCGGACCCCCACCTACTTGACTTTTCCCGTAATACCGCGAACATCCCGTATATCGAAATATTATTGACTGTCTTAAAAAATCCCACGGTTCAATTGTATGAATATTAACATACTTTTTGGCTGCGAAATAATAATAACATTTGGTTCCCAGCTCCAAGCAGCCGATTTGAAGCTGACTAATCAAATCTAGGTGAGCTTCTTTTCGATTTCTATGACGCTAGTCTGTATCCAGGCAAGCGCATCATTTTTCTGGAAGCATCAACTTTTTTCCCACAAGCAAAATATCATCAGCGCAGACAGAGCAGAGGCAACGTTGTGGATAGTTTGCCAGGCGGACGGTCTCCAGCGGTTCCCATCGTATTTCCCGCTTAGGGAAATTGGCATCTATACCGCCAGAACCGGATCCTCGTTCTCCTCTGCACCGCATCGACGACAACATAAAATACCTCCCTCCTTCCAAACCCCCTTTCCAGCGCATTTATCGTTGATATCAAAACCATGGGGACCAAAAAAGGCACCAGAGTCCCCGTCTCTCAAATCTCCTCAACAGCAGCACCATCAATATCCCCCTCAACCCTCTCATCAAATAAATCCTCCGTCCTTCGCTCAGCATTCTCCCCGTCCGAGTATCAACTGGCGCTTTTCGCTTCGGTCATCCAGGGCCTAGACTCCCAGCATCTGCGCGTTCACGAAATTGGCACTGGGCGTTTACAGTGCGAACATGCTGTAAATCCAAGGGAAGTGATCACTTCGTTGGATTGGGGCTCCTATGGCGATTCTCTGAACAGCAGAGATCACCATCAGCATATGAAGAAGAAGCGAAAGCGCAGTTCATCTGGTGTAAATGGCATTGCGGATATAGATGCGGATGCGTCTGTGGGTGTGGAGAATGTGGTGATTGCGTTTGGAACCAGTTCTTCCGATATCCGCATGTATTCGCCGGCGGAGGATAGGATTGTTGGTACTCTTTCGGGTGGGCATGAGAAGGGGATTAGGGATTTTAAGTTTACGGCGAAAAGCCCTGTGGCGGAGGGTTGGAGTATTGGTGGTGATGGGAAGCTTGTTCAGTGGGATTTACGGACTGGCAGAAGTATACGGTATGCTCAGTGATCCTGGTCATTTCCTATTTTGATTCAGATCGTACACCTGATGGTTTCGTCTAACGATTTTTTTTTTTTTTTTTTTCCATTTGTCTGCTTCTAGAGTGGTATCTCTACCGTCAGCCTCTGTCTCCGCGCTTGCACGGCCCGTTCCTTCGAATCCTCCTGTTCTATGCGCATCTCAAACGCCATATCTAATGGGCCTCGAGCAGGACGGGGTCGAGGGCGTGGTTACATTTAGTGCCATGAAAAACTCCATACACACACTAATATCCTCTTCCTCGGATCTGGGGAATTTCTCGGAACAATTCCTTGCTGCAGATTCAAACCGCTACATCAACATTTTCGATATCCGGAAGAAGAAAATATCAAATACACTAGTGGCTGTGAGTGATATTGAATCCTTAGCGTTCTATTCCGCCCCCTTTCAAAAGGTCCAGGGTAAAAAAAATGAAGAATCTACGAGGTCGAATCAGCTTCAAAGGCAACTTCTTGCTGTGATTACGCAGAATGGTGTCATCGAGCTGTTTTCCAAACCCTTTTATCAGCTACCACCCGTCGGGGGCGCAAATAGCCTAAAGCCACGCGGCAAGTCAATGACGCGCCGTGCGGAAGCTGTGATTAAAATTATTAGACCTGACAAGTCTCGAACGGTAGTACCTATCATATCCGTTAGTTTCCAGGGACCGGATCTCGTTGTTGCATGGGCGGAGGGTGGTGTTAACTTGGTGTTTGAGAAAATACGCTGGCAAGATGAGGTCACCCAAGAGCTGATGTTCCAGGGGGAGAAAGAAATCATGCGTGAGAAGTCTGCGTCTACGCTTGGATCTGCAATGATGAATGGTGTCAAGAATGTTGGGAGGACCCAAGTTGATGAGTCGCATGCGGTAGTCGAGCAAGGCGGAGTTACAGAGGGAATCCCTGTGGAACAGAGGGATAATCAGAAGGACGCCATCCCAATACCCAGCGATGATGATGACGAAGAAGAAACATCAGATGAAGATGGAAGTGAAGGCAGCGAACATGCTGAGAAGGCTCAGCCTACATCAGAATCCGCAACCCGCGAGCAAGAGGACACTGACATGGTCGATGCTGACACCGACGCCGACGCCGCAGAAAATGGCGAACCCTCCTTCGGCGAACTCATTCGTGCTCACGCATCCGAACCCATCGACGTCGAAACAGAACTCCTCGATGACGCAGAGGCCAACACCCACGCCCTAACTTCGAATACCATCAAGTCCAACACGGCCCTCCAGATCCCCTCAGGTCTCTCTCTCGCTACCGTCCTCTCCCAATCCCTCAAGACAAACGACAACTCCCTCCTCGAATCCTGCTTCCACACCACAGACATGAACATCGTCCGCGCCACCATCCAGCGCATGGACTCTTCGCTTGCCGCTACCTTGCTTCAGAAGTTGGCGGAACGCCTCTCGACTCGTCCCGGCCGCTATGGCCATCTGCTCGTCTGGGTGCAGTGGACTTGCATCGCGCATGGTGGGTCAATTGCGGGGAGACCTGATGTGCTGCGAAAGATTACGGCGCTGTTTAAGGTTATGGACCAGCGGTCGGCGAGTTTGCCATCGCTTTTGCTGCTGAAGGGGAAGTTGGATATGCTCGATGCGCAGCTGGGTCTTAGGCAGAAACTGCAGCAGCGGGCTGGTGGTGGTGGTGGTGGTGGCGGTGCTGGTGTGTTAGGTTCTGAGGATGAGGAGGATGGGGTTATTTACGTTGAGGGGGAGGAGGACTTGGTGGATTCTGTTGATGAGGAGGAGGATGGAGTAAGACTCCTTGAAGCTGCTGATTCTACTCCTGCAAAGAAGCGTGGTGTGCGTGGTACAGATCTCAGTGAGGGAGTGGAGGAGGATGAAGATATGCCGCTGGCTACTAATGGGGTTGCATCTAATGAAGAGGAAGATGGCGACGAGGAGGGAAGTGAGGATGAGGAAGTTGAGTTGTTCGATGATGAGGCGGAGGAGTCTGAGGATGGAGAAGAGGCGGGCGAAGAAGATGAGGAGGAGGATGAGGAGGAGGATGACGAGGAGGATGAAGGAAGTAGTATGGTTGGTTTCATTACGGACTCTGATGGTGATGAACCTGTTAATGCGGCGCCCGTTCTTCCCTCGTCGAAAAAAGGGAAATTAAAGCTAGGTAAATCGCTAAGGTAGAGAGGTTTTCTTTTTCTTTTTTTTTTTTCTTTTTGTCCTTTCCTCTTTTCATACTTTTGTTCTATTTCCCTTCGCCTCTTCGCCTTTTCCCTTTGAATTTTTCTCATTGTCAATGGCTTTTCCTTTCTCTCATATACGGTATTAAAAATTGGGTTTCCGTTACTTTTCTCCTGCCTTGTCAGGAGGTGGCATTTGCATGTATGTAACTACATTGTCTTCTGTGTTACCGTCTCAGGTCTATGTATGTGAGATGTTGAAGGGCAATTCGATATATATAAAACATATATCCGATCTATTACTGACTAATGGTTTTTAATTAACTATTTTGAAATTATGAGATGTGACATCGTGGACTTACCATTGGGCAATACCAGAAGGTGAAATGAGCCTGTAAATATATATTCTGATAACACTGTTGCGTGAATCACTCATCCTCCTCCGCATCCAGGGACAACAATCACAGACTGGTAATAATAGGATCAATTGCATATAGTTATGCTATAGTTCTTAGGTATAATGGGAATCACCATTGCGGTCAATAGTCTAATAAAAATAGCTCTTGGGGGTTGACAAACCCCAAACCCAAACAACCGAACAACACTAAGAAACCCCAGAAGAGATGCCTAAGAAGGGATAGAAGGACCTGGACCATCTATCTGTAGAAAAAAGAAACTCCTAATCTATCGAATAATCTCACTCCCTTCCCAATCAATCCCTTCCAAACTTTCCAAAATAGCGCTCCCACCCAACTGGCCCGTAGTTCCCATTGTACTCTTCCGTGTCCCACTCCAAACCTCATGGAATTTCACACATTCGTCACTGGATGCAACTATGATACATCCTTCTTCAGCAGTACGGGACCACCACGTACCCCCTTCCTTATAAGCTGCCCGAGGCCGTGTTATTGGACTGCTCTCAGTTGTAACTGTTGTAAGGCCGGACCCAGGAAACACAGGTCGGTTGGTATCGCCTCCGACGGTGACACCTGGAGCAGCGGGTCTAATGGTAGAGTTGGTCGATGAGGTGGATGGCATACGATCGTCCCCTCCAACATAAGCCGTATCGTTAGGACCCCCCGGATAGCTGATTGCCCATAGAGCCCGACCACAATCGAATGAATTGTCAGAATCGGTGCTGCCGGGTCCGCCATCAGACGATGGCGTCCAAGGGATAGCTACAACCTGCTGGCAACTGGGCCACGCGAAAACGGCTACTCGAAAGGGGTGCTCCGGTTGTGCATATCCGAAAGTCGCTGCTATCTCGCGCCGTGTTTTGCTCCAAATGAGACTTGTAACCTGAGCATGGACGTTGATTGTTGCAAGACAGGCCCCTGATCCTGTGTGGTAGAAATGAATGCAACGATCATTTGAGCCACCACCAGTAGCTAAGAGAGACGGCTGCCAAGGAGCGAAAGCCATTGCTTTCACTGCGGCTGAGTGCGGGAATTTATATTTCTGGCGGTTTGCCGGTACGAAAATAGCCTGAGATTGTCCGGATATTGGGTTGCTGGTTCTATTTAATGGGGAATGAGAGCGTGTTGCACGCGAACCACCACCAGCCAGCGATATGGGTAGGGCTAACTGATTGATGTGACTCCAGTCAAAGATTCGATTTAATTGAGAGCGGTATGGAAACCGAGGTAGATTGCTTCGAGCTTGGCTTGACGTTGGCTGATCTGACGCCTGGCCCGGGGTGTGGAGCTGTCCGCGCTCGCCCTCCTTTCCTAGGACGTCTGAAATATCAAACAAGAGGCAAGCGTTGTCATTTCCTCCTGTTGCAAGGTATTTGCCATCTGGAGACCATACCAGGCCGCATATTTGTTGAGTGTGAGCGGAAATCTTCGCGATGAGGGTCGTAGATCCGTTCCACCCGTGAAGTTCTCTTGATTTTGGATCTGTCCATTCCACGGAATAGTACCACACAATTCCTGCATCATCTCCAACAACCAAATCCTCAGTGTCAACAAATGAACACTGAAAACGTGCCGAATGCCTTTTGGTAGGGGTTTGTTTAAATGAGACACAGGAGACCGAATTGGGTTGGTAAAACTCAAAACGAACCACGGTATCGAAGGTGCTCCATAGAGAAACTTGACCACCATGTCGGCCAACGGCCAAGATGCTATTTCCTCCCTGTGATGAAGAAAAGGAAAGAGATGTCACGTAGTTTGAAGCTAAATGGGGAGTCAATGGCGGATATTGTACCCCAAGCAGCTCCGACCAAAGGTACACACGACTACTCAGGCCGACAGCAAGCATGCGAGCAGTATAGGAATACGCCAGGGTGGAGCAGTAGAAGTCGTCCCGTAAAAGAGGTGCATCTAGAACTCGGAAAGGTGTTGACGGAACGGCTTCTCGTTTTGGTTTGCATACGATTTTCTTTGCTATTCTCGACCAAGTCAGCATTCACTACGTCCATATAATGTAAACTGTAATATTAAAGTGATCAGGTTAATGCGAGAAATAGTGCATGGGAGATATGTAATGTCGATGAGGTTGATGGGGATTGTTGTCATTGAAAGATAATGGTTAATTTGGTGGGTGATACGAGAAATGGTTGCACACATGAAGAAACTTACGTGTGCTAGTATCGGCTCTCACCCAGCTACTGTTTTTCCATAAGTAAGAAGGGTACTGTCCACGCAGAGAGTCCCCCGTGGTATGTATATGCTCTGGATAGGATGCAGTATCACCAAAATTTAAGACTTTAGTAGCTTGATCGATATCCAATGCAGCTGCAAGACGAGCTTCATGCCGTTTGAGATGTTGGGCATGCGTATCCTTATCCAGAAAATTGGCGACATACATCGGAGCACTTGACCCCGTCGAAAGCAGCCCTCCGTGGCCATCTTGTACCCCTACAGGAGCACTTCCGGTTGCAGCAAAGGTTCCTCCCACGCTCCAGACTGCTCCCGCGCTGATCTGTCGTTGGTTTCTGCTACCAGCTGACCTGTCATTCATGGCGTAAACGGAGGTATCACTGACATGCCGTGGAAGGTGGTGAGGAGTGTCTCTACGGTCCAAAGACCGATTTGACCTGGACCCAACAACACTTCTCCTTGGCTGGTATGGAGCAAATGGATCTGCTCTTGGGTCTTGTCGCCGGAGCAGCTTTTCTCCAGGAGAAAGAAGACGTGGATTCTTATTTAGACGGAATGGGGATACCTCTGAAGTGTGCGGTTCCCGAATGGGAAGAAAGCGATCCGGAGACGAGAATCTACTATGAGGGGAGACTGGAGATGGACTTCTGATAAATCCCTGCCTCCTATTAGGTAAGTGGAGTAGGCTGGGGTTTGTTGGACTGTGAGTTATATCGACATCATCCCCCTTTTTCCCCTGGAAGAAGTAACTATTATTCAAGGGACTAATGACATTGAGACTAGACCCGGGGCTGGTTATTGAATCTTGGGTGGGAGAAGGAAACGTGTCTGTTTGATATTGAGATGAAGTGGGAGAAGACGAGCCCGAAGTTTGGGCATCTGGAGAAGGGGTCCGCCCATTGTCTGGTTCAGAGATGGACCGCTCAACAGGAGGGTCGGGGAAGAGAGTCAATGAGAGACTGTCGTTATTCGTGGCATATCTTAGCTCTTCCACCGACTGGGATTTTGAGAGCATTGCTGCCACTCAGGCAGTGGACGATGTAGAGCGTCACCATAAAACACTGCTTTTCATAAAACGGCCTTGAAACGAGCGGTTATAAATAATAAGAAGAGAGAAAAAGAGAATTTATATGCTTCTCATTAATGATGCTATGATGGGGAGCTGTAAGCAGTTAATTTGGCATGTTGTTAAGTTGTCCGCCTAGATAGAATAGTTATCAATGAGAAGACAAACAGCAATTGAGATCGACGAAGCTGCCAACGCCCTATTCTATGTCTGTCTTCCGCCCTCCAGTCCGCCTTCTCTCTCGTATCCCACCTCCACTGCTCCCATTGCTCCATTGCTCCATTGTAGCTGCTTGTTACTCTTTTGTTGCTTTGATCTTTGTCTGTTGTTGTTGTTGGAATAACTACAGTTGCGGCTGAAGTCGGGGGAAGCCATTACGGAGGTGTGTCACGTGCTGATAAAAAGGACGCCTTGCCCCTGATAAGACACGATCGAACCGTTCGCCCTCAGAATAAGGTCTCTCTTTGTTCTCTGGATACACGCATAGTATTTATTGCTTGAACTTACGCCTAATGCTATATGGTGTTAATATAAGGAGGTGAATTGGAGTTTCGAGTCTATCATGGCAAGCGTAGGTACTCTCGGCCCTTTTGAAAAATAATCCCAATATTCTTCTGCTGACCAAGCATGGTGGACCTTGCAGCATGGCATTCCACGACATGCCACTTCAGAGCAGAGATCAGAGGGTGTACGGCAGAAAGAAATTCAGAAGATACAGGCATATAATGGACTTGTCCGTGTAGTGAATTTCCAGGTAAACACAAGCCTATTTGTAGATGGGAACATGACTATATCCGCTGATATACTAACTGTGGAGAGCAGAGAGCAGAGCTCGACTTCAGCACGGAGGCGCTGAATAAAACTTCAGAACTGCTCACCAAGAACCCAGAATATTATACGATATGGAATGTGCGGCGCCAAATATTACAACACCAGTTTTCCAAAACTACGTCTACAGATGAGGAAAGCAGCCTTGACCAGATCAAGAACATGATCAAAGCCGATCTTCAGTTTTTGTTTCCCCTTCTCCGGGGATATCCCAAGTGTTATTGGATCTGGAATCACCGGTTATGGGACCTGGAACAAACCACCCTTTTGCTTCCGACTTCTGTTGCCCGTAGGTTCTGGCAGGAGGAGCTTGCACTGGTTGGCAAAATGCTCAGCCTGGACAGTAGAAACTTCCACGGTTGGGGATATCGTCGACAAGTCATATCGGCACTCGAAAAGTTGGCCTCGAACGATCATGGGGAGCCCGATGGCGAGAAAGAGACACCCGCACCCAAAAGCATGACAAAGGGGGAACTTGACTACACAACGAAGATGATCGGTACTAATTTATCCAATTTCTCAGCGTGGCATAATCGAACACAGCTTATTTTGAAGCTGCTGAATGAACAGTCTGCCAGCGATGAGGAAAGAAAGAAGATGCTAGACGACGGTAAGTTTTGTTTTTCAATGAATTCAGATATGTGTATGTAAAAGATGATCATTTTACGAAGTGTCACTCACTCCAGGGATCCCTAGAATTAAAACTAATCCATCGGGCTTTAATCGACCCATACGATCAGTCTTTGTGGTTCTATCACCAAAATCTGATGTGCACATTTGATCCCGCTCTGGCTCCAGGGACCATGGCGCCAAATCTTACAGATGCTGATCGATTAAAGTATCTGGAGAACGAGGTTGAGGCTATTACTGAGATGCTGGACGGAGAGGAAGACTGCAGATGGATCTATCAGTCTCTGATCAACTGTAGCACGATCATTTCTCGCATAAAAGGAAGAATGTCAACGGAAGTGAAACAGCGGATATCGGGATGGGTATCTGAGCTAAAAAGGCTTGATCCACTGAGGCAAGGGAGGTGGATGGACCTTGAGACTTCGTTGAACCTATAGGTGAGTGGGCGATGTTTCACGATGGGTCTATTGAAGATACACGCCAACATTCCACAGCATTGCCACAACACGGAGGGGCCGCCATAGTATTGGGATTTGTTTTCGACGTGTTTTCATGGACTTCTTAATCAAAGGGACCTGGGAAATGTGAAATGTGGAATGTGGAATGGAATCTACAACGCTTTTTTGGGGTTTGGGTTCAGGACTGGAGTCTTGTGGGGATTAACGTTCCGGGCTGTGGGCTTCTAGATTTATTTTGTATACATGCGCTCGTTTATTCATGGTGCATATACTGTGTCTTCCTGTTGTGCATATATATACATTTACACACACATAATATATATTTCATTATCCAGATTGGAGAATTGTTCTAAGGGGGCAAAGGCGACACAGAGGACAATAGAGACGGCTGGGGAAGACGAAAACAGATAGATGTATTTGATATGCAGCGGTTGGCGAGTGTACGGAAGTAAACACTTCCCCACTTTAAGTAACCGAGGGGCATTCGACCACTAGGAACATAAAAGATAGGATTGATTTTTTTTTTTTACCAAGGACCATGCATTAAGAACAGCTTTCTCTCCTGACCTTCTCGAATCAACTGATGCATGACACCAATCTTCTGGCGAATAGCAGTGCGTGTTTGGCACCCAGTTAGCGCGACCTTGGGTCTACTTCGCGCATAGTCCGTAGTCTGTACATACTTATTATGCGACAAGGCTACACAGCAACATTGAGCATGCAAAGGCCACACTGCAGACTGCCCTTCTGATGTAGATAGTGAAATATGCCTTAAGCAAGTTTTAGGACTGGAAATAAGGTAAAGTACCAGGTAACTAGTTAACTAGCCAAGATATAGTTAGAGAGAAAAGATATTTTGCCGTCAACTGCGATCTGTTGAAAAAGACGCAGCGTATTTCGGTTTTTTAGTTTTATTTAAATAACTACAAGGGTGATAAGCTGAAGGTGTTTCAGGTTCTCATCCGTGCATATATTTAAATATTTTCACTAATAATATAAACCATGGGAGATGCCCAGAGTGTAGTTACAGTAATTGGCATCTCTGTTGTTATCAGTGAGCTGGTAAACAGAGACGAAACAGACACTTCAAACTTCCAACAACAATAACCAATCTTCATCCCAACATCTTTCTCACCTACGTCTCAACTTTATCGCCAAGCCGTAAATAGTACTTGCTTCCATCCCCTCCCATCCTCCGTCTATCGTCCAAGAGTCCCTAGACCATCTCCGTTCGCATTGCTGAGGATTTTGTCACTTCTGTCCACTGTCTATGGATTCTGTCTCCCGTCTTATATAGAGCTTTCTCCCAGCCAGGAACATCGCAAACGACTTATCTTGCCGCATGCACACGACCAGCCATGGTATCCAACAGCACGGAGAATACAGACTACGAAACTGTTGGTTACAATTCGTTCCATTGCATAGAATTTAATTGAAAGGAGAAGCAAATGCTCATGATACTTTTTACCGTTTTATTTAGGACACCTTCGAAGACGCACAAGACACTGCACAGGGCGTTGAATCTCCGATTATCCACAGCACCACCCGTTCTCTGACCGACCATCGTCCTTCCCATGGATCTCTGACTACTCCACGAGCCACAACACACCCTCCTGTGCCTACATCCGAGAAGAGCCGCAGTAGCCAGGATGATGCTCTCTCTCAACTCTCCCATTCGGGTGAGGATACGCCAAAGAAACAAAAACCTTCCAAATCGCCCTTATTAACTGCTCACCGTCTCTCCACAACATCTCTGGATGAAGTCAATTTGACCAGCACAAAGGACGAAGAGGAGGGCAAATCACAACAAACGCCCTTAGATTCGACAAGCAGTTCTCCCCCTCTGCCCTCGAGCTCGAGGGACTCCTTTAGGCAAACTAGCCTCCTCCAAGGCTTCTCCGCCTCACTCCCCTCCGTACCTTGGAGTCCTCCGCCCACCAACAAAAATCAACCCCCCGCAGTCCAATTAGCAAGTCCGCCCCTTCCCTCACGAAAACTCACCAGCCCATTCTCATGGCTTTCACGGGGTAGTACTGGCACCAAGGATGTCAAAACTTCGTCTGGGACTGGCGGGAGCCGGAGAAACACTGCGACATCGATGTCGACCGTGGGTAGTAATCCTGAGTTATTAGGCCGGTTACAAGAGGGGAGTGATGGGGACTCTGCCAGCATGGACTCGAAGAAACAAACGCGCAACAGTTTGAGGGATCAATTTAAGCTCTTAAGAATGCGGGACGAGGGCGTTGTCGATGAATCAGGTAGTGTTACGTCAGTCCACAATGATGTCCGGACCGGCATTGCTGGAAGTCCTGCAAGCGTATCGGGAAAAGATGAAGGTGGACTTTCCATGCCCCCTGTTGCATCCCCTGTGACAACCTCCCCCGGTCTTCCTGCGACGGTTAATCCAAATCTAGCTCCCGGCACTGTATCTGGCATATCATCATCTGCGACTGATGCGGCGACTCCTGTCGATTGGGAGTTGTGGCAACAGATAGTTAACCATGGACCTGAGGCTCTTAAAGGATCAAATGCCGCAGAGTTGAATGCAGCTATCAAGAGAGGCATTCCGCAAACTATCCGTGGAGTTATTTGGCAAGTGCTTGCAGACAGTAGGAATCCTGAGTTGGAGGATGTGTATAGAGAGCTTTTAGCACGGGGTACGGAAAAGGATAGAGATCACTACTGGAGTAACAGCTCCGCCATAACAGTTAACAGCCAGAGCAATGGAGTTCCCAAGGATAAAGAGAAGGAATCGCTGGCTTCTTCCCGATCCTCCCTCTCCTCTGACAACTCGAGCCCCACGGCTTACTCGACCCAAAGTGTCGTCTCCCCGCCATCGATACCAGAGAAGGATCCGGAATCGGTAACTAAAGAACAAGCAACCCAGGAAGTTGCTCGAAAAAGGAAGGCAAAGGAGGATGCAGCCGCGCTTCAGAAGCTAGAAAAAGCTATCAGGCGGGACCTTGGTTCGAGGACCAGTTACTCAAAATACTTCCTATCTCAGCGCAACCAGGATGGATTATTTGGACTCTGCAAAGCTTATGCTTTGTATGATGAAGGGGTGGGTTATGCTCAGGGAATGAACTTCATTGTTATGCCTCTGTTGTTTAATGTAAGTCATCACTGGTTCATCTGAAAGTAGAATAGGATTCATTGTGGGCGGGCACCTAACTAAATGATATTCTGAAATAGATGGATGATGGGGAAGCATTTACTCTTTTGGTTAAGTTAATGAACAAATACTGCCTACGGGACATGTTCATCCAGGACATGCCAGGACTTCACCTTCGTCTGTATCAGTTCGAGCGCCTGTTGGAAGACCTTGAACCTGCTTTGGCTTGTCATCTACGTCGACGCGGGGTTACTCCCCAACTCTATGCAACCCAGTGGTTCCTTACGTTGTTCGCATACCGATTCCCGCTGCAACTTGTCCTCCGCATCTATGACTTGATATTTGAGGAAGGGCTAGAACCCACAATTCTCAGATTCGCTGTCGCCATTATGCAGCGCAATACCGACACCTTGCTTGGGATGAACGACATGACTTCGCTAACCAATTTCCTCAAAGAAAAGTTATTTGACGTCTATATCGATCAGCAGCCCACTGCAAACTCGATCCTTGAATCTGGATTCTTCGGCAGCTCCGGCTCCTCAGACAAGGAAGTATATCGCGCCGATTTCATGGTCCAAGATGCATGCGCGATTAAACTTTCGAATGAAACTATTAAAACGTACACTGCAGAATGGGAAGAGAAGATGCGCGTGGATAAGGAACAGGCCACTGAACTTGAGGGGTTAAGGCACACTGTCGCGACCCAGACAGCTCGCATCCGTTCTCTTGAAGAACGTGCGGAAAAGTCGGACACGGAACACGTGCAGATTGCTTCCGAACTCGTTCGTCTGAAGGTGGAGAATGAAGAGCTTAGGGATGTCAATGAGAGCTACAGGGTGGAAGTGCAGGAGCTCAAGGCAGTTATTGACCGGCAACCTGCTGAGCTGGAAGAAAAGCTGCGGACAGAGATGGATAGGATCATGAAACGGAACATCGAGGTGCAAAATGAGAATAGGGCGATGGAAGAGCAGATGGCTGAGATGGAGAAGGACTTGGTTGAGACGAAGATGAAGTGGGCGGAGGTAAGATGCGTCATCCTTTCTTCATGCTCTGTTTTATCTTTCTCTCTTTCTCTCTTTCTTTTATTTCTTTCGTTTTGTGCCGCCACTGATGGTCAGTTGTTTATCGCAGTTGTCCGAAAATCACGAGAATCTCAAACAGAAATGGAGTGATTTACGGAAAGCCCTTGATTAACGACAAAGGTAGAACGTAAGGGTTCGCCTCCCTAACCCCTCTCTAACCCCTCTCCTCCTTTGCATATACCACCTGCATTATCCCGGCATCTTTTTCTTGTTTTGAGCCCTCGACCATCTATCGGCCTCCCATCACAATCATCCGTTGTATCGATCAGTATAAATATCCTTACATAAATAGATACATCTAACTTCATCTGCCAACTACAGTTGGCAATGCGGACAGAAGAGGCGGTACAAGAAGTACGATATTTAGATTTAGTAAACACGTTTCAATACCCACTGTCGAACAACGTAACTGTTAAATTCGCACTTCATTTTCTTTTTCCCTTGTATCAATTCGGTTAGTGTCCTTTAATTGATCCCCCAACCCATTGTTATTTTTAGGATGCATCTTGGCCCTTAATGCTTCTATTGTCTTCTTTGTAAAGAAAATCCTTCGTGTTCCTACGACTCTCTTTAGTCGTTAATAAACATCTGATCGGGGTTCTGGGTTGGCATATTATCTGATTAGCATTAGCTACATTACTTTTACCCTGGATCTCCTCTGGCTAATCCATTAACCTACCTTACCTATGTCATCATTGCAATAAGGTTGGTATTCACGCTGCGTATGGCAATGGTGCTCTTTGCAAGCGGGCTTATCTTTTACATTCACCCTTAATTTTTTCAAT